TGCACATGTTCAAAACGAATGTGTTCGGCGCTAAACCAAAAGCCAATTCTTCCAAACGGGTCGCCCTCAATCCGTGAAAGCCTTGCAACTGTTAAAAACGAATGTGCGCGGCGCTAAAGCGAGAGCCACATGTTGAAAACCACCCCACCTCCATCTGTGAAACTGTTGCCAATGTTTTCAGTTTCAGTGTCGTAAGTGGTGAGGACATCTCAGGCGAAACGCCAGGGCGCCGTATAAACTGGCCCCGGGGTGCGACATGGAGACGTTCTTTATAAGGAAAAGGAATGAATGAGGAGCAGGAGGAGGAGGAGGGGGCGGAGGAGGAGGAGGAGGAGGAGGGGATGACGAACAGCGAGGATAACGAGGAAGCCGAGGGCGAGGACGCCGAGGACGACGAGGGCCGCGGAGAAGCGGCGATGGCGAGTCAGTAAGCAGCTGTGGGAGGTTTCCGTAAGACAGTTTCTTTGCTATTAAACAAAATGCACTGGGTCATGAGGCCAGATCAGGCCAAATTATGTCTCACATCGACGTGGAGTAAGCTGTTCTTGGCGGGGCTATGCAGGATTGGGCGAGCTCTCGACCACGGATCTGCCAGCGCCGATGCTCAATTTCACATCCCAGGAGCTGGATCGTAACCATTGAGATGTCAGAGGAACGGGTGGTCAATTAAGTTCAGTCCGAGGCATGCGTCGCTGCGGCTGGGATTAATCTGGAACTCTTTGACAGAACGCGTGCCGACGAACATGTCCGCGGGTCGATCTTCTGGAGGGCTCTCGCACGAGCGCGTCTTGAAACAACATCACGGCGGGCTTCTCTGGCCTGCATCGGGCCAATGAGGCCTCGAGGATCGACCTGTGACACAGAAAGCACTCGCGAAGGCTGGGCCGACGGTCCTGGCCTTGGCCTCTCACTGCGCCGCAATCCTGTTCACACGAGGCGGGGCTCGGGCTGCCGTCGCGGCGGCGAGAGCACATCGCCCCGACAGCGGGGACTGCGGCGAGCACTGCGGCGGGGGCGCCACCGCCGAGCCGGGCGCGGCACGCGCAGCTGTGCGGTGCGGCCGACGCGCGGCCCTTCCCTCGAGAGTGCGGCCTCTCTGGAGACTGGCACCACGGGAGCGCGGCACCTTGTGCGGCAAGGCTCCGGGTCGAGCACAGGCAGCCCCCTCCGGGCATTCCCGGCTGGGCCGACAAGCCCCTCGAGCAGTCAGGGGCGGTCTCAATCTCCCAACCCTGGGGCGGGGGGGCGCGGAGCACCCCAAGGGCGCTGCCGAAGGCGGCGCCAAAACGTTGAGATCACCCTGGGCTACTCGGGGACCTGTTAAGGTCAGCCGGGACTTCCTGGGGGGGCTGTTTCCTAAAAGATTCTGCAGGATCCTGCACGCAAGCCCAGGTCAATGCACACCTGGCTCTGCAAGATCCTACAGGATCCGGCGCTCTGACTGAACCCCCGTTTGCATTGACCTCCGTCCCTTGAGCCCCGATGCAGGGAAAGCTGACGTCAGTGTCGCCACCCAAAATGCTCCCAGGAACAGACCTCGAACGGCGAAAAGCGCAGAGGCCCGGCCGACGAGGGAGCTATATAGCTCGTTGCAGCGGGCGGTGGGCGGACGCTTCCGTCCTCACATTCTCCCGACGAGCGAACGACCCACACCCAGATCCATAGGGGGATCGCAGGGAGGAGGCCTGGCTATGGTTTATGGGCGCGGGTTGTCGGACCCCTCGGGAAACTCCCGTTCGAGCGGGGACCCCTATCCGACAACACGCACCCATAGCCCCCTCCGTTCCCTCTGTGTGTGTGTGATTCGTTCGCTCATATCTCCCGGCTCTGCCTCTGCTCTGCCCACCTCTTCTGTCCCTCCTGCGCCCCCCTCCCGCGCTCACGAGCGGCGAGTGTCCTCATGCCCACGCCCTCGCGGACTGGACTGCGGGAGGCCATCCCGTGGATGCGCGGTCGCACGGATGCGTTCCGCGGGGGGGGGGCACCCGCGAGTAAGCGCCCCGTGTCCACTGGGCCGCGGCCCCAGGGCCTGGCCCGCGAGGCCGTGGGCACGGATGGAGGAGAGGAGGCCCATCGAGGGCTGCGGCCGGCGGCGGTGACGCGGCAGAGCGCCGTGCGATCCAAATGGGGTGCGAAACCTCTTGGGCTCGGGCATCTACAGCAAATTCTGTTCCAAGGGCAATGCTGCGCCTTGCGGGCGCGTTTGCAAAGCAAGCTGGTCTGCACGGCTCTCTTGAGGTGCGCGCCTCCAGGCACACTGCCGCGGAGACCTCGAGCGGGAAATCGCTGGAACGGACTTTTGATCCCACTCCACCCCCCCCAGGCCTCCTCCAGCGTCCCCTTGTTCGACCAGCGCCTTCTCTACAGCATCGGAACGAAGTGTACTGGAGGTATGTGGGACGCACATAGACATATCGGAACGAAGTGTACTGGAGGTATGTGGGACGCACATAGACATATCAGTACAAGATGCCTTTCTTGGAGGCGCGCGTCCGACCCGAACATACCGTAGACCCATCGTGTAGTAGATCATTTCCCGAGCAGTATGACAATAAAGCGCCTACCACGACGCATAGGCAAGAAGATTTCTCGGTGCGCGCGTCACCCCTGGAGGAGCGGCTCACGCATAGCGTTAGTATGTGGGGTGGCGCCGAGCACGGGCCCCATGTTTCGGAAGTGGATTCGTATAGCTTCGTGTTGCGCATCTCCTCGGACGGCTCCAACATCTCCAGCCAGGTCCCCCCTCCCACCCAGGGGACGAGAGGCGGCTGCAGCGGATGCGTACGATATGATGTTCTCTTTTTTATTCGGCAGCTCAGAGGGCCGTGTTCACGACGTTTGGACTCGCCTGCCAGTGGTAAGAACTCGCATATACACGTTGCACTGAGCTCTGCTCGCTAACGCCTCGCTGCCACGCCCCAGAAGCGTGGACCCTCCCTCCTCACGGGTTGGAACGAGCCCGCCCCCCGACGGAAGTCCGACAGAAAGTCTTGCTGGAAGGAATCTTGGGGCACATTGGTCGTCCACCTCTGCCCTCCCTGAGATGTCAGACGATCTCTGAAGGTCCCCAGGGAATCTGGGGATACGAAGGTCCCGCGGGGCACGCGCAGGAAGGCTGGCTCCTTAGCTGACGCGCCCTCTGTGGTCCTTGTCCTCCTCCACTTTCCCCGGATTTCCCCCACCCCTTCTCCCCCCATTCTCTCCCCACTCCTCCTCGTCCTCCTCCCCTCTCTCCCTCTGCTCCCCCGGCACGTCCAGCTTCGTGCCGCTGAGGACATCGCCCGCGGCGTCCATGCCCTTCTTCTTCGCCTTGCCCGCAGCATCCGCGAGGCCCTTCGCGGAATCCTTGGCACCCTTGGCGGCCCCCTTGGCAGCATCCTTCACGCTGCTGCCGTCGAGGCCGTCGAGGGCCTCCTTGGCGGCGCTCTGCGCCTTGCCAGCCGCTCCCTTCGCGCCCGCGGCCAGGTCGCCCACGGCCTTTCCGGCGCCCGTCTTGTCCAGCTTGCCGGCGGCGTCCTGCAAGGAGCGCACGCAGAGTCGAGAGCACGCCGCCGGAGAGAGAGCCGCCGCGCGCGGGGAGACCAGGAGGCACCGATAACGCCAGTCCCCCCGGGTGCGTTCTGGCCAGAAGTTCGAGGCGAATCCAGCGGTGGCGACGAGGGCATCCCAGGGGGCCCAAACAGGGGAAAACGAGGGAAGGGTAAAAGCAATACGGCTCCGAGCCATGAGAGCAGGCGTCCAATCAGCGCTGGACTCCGAAAGGTGATGCTTGTGCTACGACTATCCATACAGTGGAGGCCAACCCACAAGAAACCGACCACCAGAAACCCACCCCCGAGACCCCAGGACGCCCCCATGTTCGGCGTGGGAGCGGCACGCTTCCCATAAAAGACCACCGAAACCCAAGAAACCAAGGGCACCCTGGAGGCAGGCAGGGTGCTTCATTAAGGGAACAAGAAGTGCCATAAACATACAAACTCGGAGGTCCGTGCGCATTTCTCGGATCGGCGCTGGACCCCCCTCCCTGGCGCGCGGAGCGCGCCAGGGGCGGCGCCGGAGGCGCCGCCGGGGGCCCCCAGCGCCGACTCGAGAAATCCGCGCGGACTTCGGAGTTTTTTTTGTTTATGTTACTTTTCGTCCCCCCTATTCATGGCATGGGTCTCCACTGCAAGCAGCGCGGGCGCTCAGAGGTTCCCCCCACAGCGAGCGCGGCAGCGCACCCGCGCTCGGAGTTTTGCGCCCGTGGGGGCGCCCGCTCCGCGCGCGGGGTGGAGACGGCCAGCATGTGCGGCCAGCGTGCGTTGGCGGCGCGCGCAAGGGCGTATGGGGGAGGGGGGAAGGCCTCTGAGGAGGAGGCTTCCCTCTCAGCCTTGCTTCTTGGGAGGCGCCAGCCTTGCATCTCTAGAGGAGGCCCGCGTCTTCCTCCTCCTCCTCCTCCTCCTCCTCCTCCTCCTCTGTCTCCTCCTCCTCCTCCTCCTCCTCCTCCTCCTCCGCCTCGTGCGCCCGTGGCCGCCTCGTGGGCGCCTCTTGCGCGGGGGCGGGGTCTGCCAGGCCCCGCGGTCGGCGGGCCTGCCCGCGGGCGCCTCGGCGGGACATGAGGCACTGGATGTGGACATGAATCTTGCCCGCATGAGAGAGCCTGGACCACATCAGCGCTGCTGGACCTAAACGTTGCTGTTCGTTTTGGTGTCGTGTTGTCTTTCGCTCTGCGCGTCCTGTTCTCTCCTGCGCCTCCCTGCCGCAACGAAGCAAACAACACAGCCGAGGTCCAGCAGCACAGCGTTGAGGTCCAGCCTTGGACTCCCTGGACCACATACTATACTTCCAGCTGCTGATCGTGACCGGATTCTTCCCCCCGCCCATGCCGGGCTTCGCGCCCCATTTCGTTCTAACGGTGCGTATGCGCAACTCGGCCAGAATGTCGAAGCGAATCCAGCGGTGGCGACGAGGGCCTCCCGGGAGGCCCAGAGAGGGGAAAACGAGGGAAGGCTAGAGGTATGGGTACCTTTTCTCCTCTGACCATCTACTCGGGCCCCATCTACTCGGATGTGCTGGATGAGGCCGGTTTTCGACCACGGATATACGAGTCGCGATGTTGAATCTCGCCTCCCGAGAGTTGCATCCTAAGCAGCGGTTCCTTCCCTGCTCTCGGCAGAGAAGCCCTTGGGTCGCAGCGTCGGCTCGGCGAGCAGCTACGGGGCAGCAGGCATTTCCAGCAACTCCGACGTCATGACACTTTCGACACGGGCGGCGTAGAAGCCAGCGGACGTACAAGTTCACGCCGGTCGGAAGAAGTAGGTAGAATCATGAAGGAGGAGGGATGAGAAAATAGATTGGCTTCAGGCCATCCCAGATGAGAACAAACACGCGTCAAAAAACATATCGACTCTTGAAGTCGTAAGGCACTTGAAAAAGATTGGGATCGGGGGATCCCAAAACACATACTGTCAATGACCGACGGGTAAGCGTCAGAAATATTGAAACGTGATTTGAGCAGGGACCGACCGTCCCGGCATTTCTATAGTCATACCACGCGATGTTCATAGACCCCGAAAACGTTCTAATGACAAACACAATGTTCTTAGAACATACACCCGATGTGCTAAAACGAGACAGCCCCAACCAGAAATGTTCTGAGAACATTTCGTGGAAACCACAAGGTTCTTAGGACATTGTTTGGTAGGGCTCTAGGCGAGCCAGGACGCTTCGCCACTGCTTGAAAGAAGCAGTGGTCGTGGTCATTCCCCTGGTGCCAAGCTTGACGAACATGACCACAGCCACTGCTTTGTTCCTGCTGGCTGGAAGGCGGCAACAGAAGAAAAGCAGCGGCTGTGGTCGTTTTCACGTCCCGTACTTGGGATCAGGGGATCCCCCAAATACATAACGGTCAACGACCGACGGGTACTCCAGATTTCGTAATAAAGGGAGGGGGGTCTCATTTCGGGGGGGGGTCTCTTCCAGGCTATCTTGGAGGGCCTGGGGGGGCCTGGGGACGACGCTTTGGAGGGTTCTCCCACGGGGGAGGCCTGAACTGGCTTGTCTCGGAGGGCCCAGACCCCCTCCCTTTTATTACGAGATCTGGAGTAATCGTCAGAAATATCAAAACGTGATGGCCTCTGACTGGTGCGCCCGCCGCCTCCCGCCGGCCTCCCGCCGGCGCGCCCTCCGCCGGCCCTCCGCCGGCCCTCCGCCGAGGGGCGAGGCGGCGGCGGAGGCGAGGCCCTCTCTGGAGCGCCCCGCTCCCCGACTTGGCGGCGCGCACGAGGGGGGTTTGGGGGGGAGGGGGGAGGGCTGCTTAGAAGAAGGCTGCTCCTCAGAAGGCGCCGGCCATTGCATCTACAGATGAGGCCCGCGCCTTCTGAGGAGCAGGTGTGCTTCTGAGAAGCCCTCCAGCCTCCCCCCACCCCCCTCTGCGCGTGGCTGACTGACATCCGCCAATCTGTCTTCTTGCAAGCCGCGACCCCAGCGAAGGTTCCGACCGCTTCCTCGGACCTACTTTTTCGCCTCGGAACCGTTTGTGATGCCCCTGGGGCCCAGCAATCGGCGGTACACGCCGAAATCGAAGGGCCTCGCTCAGACTGAAAACATCACCTCGCTGGAGATCTGGGATCAGGTCGCACCCGATTCAACTGCACAACGTGCCCCTCGTTCACTGGGAGGGAGGAGGGAGGCTGATAAGCTGGGGCGTCCTTCGCCGCCTTCGACCCAGCATCCACGGCGCCGCTCGCAGCCTGCGCCGGCGCGGGGGATCTACGATCCATGTGTTTTTTTCCCAACCCTCCCTGGTTGGGAATTCATTTTGAATAGAACACTGCGGTCGCGTCCTTCTACCAGCCTCCTCCCTCCTCCTTCCTCCTCCCGCCTCCCTCTTGTCTCCTCTTGCCTTGTGCGGACCTCGCCATACCTGGGGGGTGCGATCTGTGAAACGGTCGCCACTTTCGAGGGCTGCTGGTGGCTCCAGCGGAGTGAGGCACCGCGCGGATCTGAGCGGGACCTCCCCGTCCCTGGAGGGCTGCGATCTGCGAAACTGCCGCCACTTTCGAGGACTGCTGGTGGGTCCAGCGGAGTGAGGCATCGCGCGGATCTGAGAGGGACCTCCCCGTCCCTGGGGGGCTGGGGTCTGCGACACTGTCGCCACTTTCGAGGACTGCTGGTGGGTCCAGCGGAGTGAGGCATCTCGCGGACCCGAGCGGGACCTCTCCGTCCCTGGGGGTCTGCGATCAGCGAAACTGTCGCCACTTTCGAGGGCTGCTGGTGGGTCCGGCGCAGTGAGGCCGCGCGGATCTGAGCGGGACCTCCCCGTCCCTGGAGGGCTGCGATCTGCGAAAATGTCGCCACTTTCGAAGGCTGCTGGTGGGTCCGGCGGAGTGAAGCACCGCGCGGATCTGAGCGGGACCTCCCCGTCCCTGGAGGGCTGCGATCTGCGAAACTGTTGTTACACGGAGTGCTGCTGGTGGGTCCAGCGGAGTGAAGCCGCGCGGATCTGAGCAGGACCTCCCCGTCCGTGGAGGGCTGCGATCTGCGAAACTGTCGCCACCTTCGAGGGCTGCTGGTGGGTCCAGCGGAGTGAGGCACCGCGCGGATCTGAGCGGGACCTCCCCGTCCGTGGAGTGCTGCGGTCTGCGAAACTGTCGCCACTTTCGAGGGCTGCTGGTGGGTCCAGCGGAGTGAGGGATTGCGCGGATCTGAGCAGGACCTTCCCGTCGCTGGGGGGCTGCGATCTGCGAAACTGTCGCCACTTTCGAGCACTGCTGGTGGGACCAGCGGAATGAGGCATCTCGCGGATCATAGCGGGGCCTCCCCGTCCCTGGAGGGCTGCGATCTGCGAAACTGTCGTTACACGGAGGGCTGCTGGCGGATCCAGCGGAGTGAGGCCGCGCGGATCTGAGCAGGACCTCCCCGTCCGTGGAGGGCTGCTATCTGCGAAAGTGTCGCCACTTTCGAGGGCTACTGGTGGGTCCAGCGGAGTGAAGCACCGCGCAGGTCTGAGCGGGACCTCCCCGTCACTGGGGGGCTGCGATCTGCAAAACTGTCGTTACACGGAGTGCTGCTGGTGGGTCCAGCGGAGTAAGGCACTACGCAGATCTGAGCGGGGCGTCGCCGTCCTTGGGGGGCCATGTCATGTTGTGCTGCCCCGCCGACGTTTCAATCCTGTTGCCCACCGTTTCCTTTTGGACCTTCAGACTTCCTTAGTGACTCAGGGGTTCCCTTAGTTACTCATCGTGTTTCCCTTGATGGGGGACCTGCGAACCTTCCGAGTGCCGCTCGCAGAAGTATATGCGTCCATGTCACGTCGCATCCTTCTCGTCAAGTCTCCCAAGTTGCTCCTGCCCCGCACTGCGCAGGGGTTGGGTACGTCACCAGGGCAATTCTTTCGGACGTTTGCCAGCAGGCTCTGTGCGAGCAGTGGAACGCGCTCGGTGATTAAAGCTCGGGACGGGGATGGCTCTCGGAGCCACGGGCCGCCGGAGCACAGCAGCACCCAGGATGGGGCCCGGGACGGACTGGGGGCGCCCGCCAGGAAAGGGGGGGTGGGAGCGAGCAGGCAGGGAGGGGTGAGCGAGCGAGCGGACGTGCTGGGGGGCCTCAGGACTCTAGGATTCTAGGTTGCCCTTGCGCGCGCCGGAGAAGGGGCACGAGGTCCAGGCAGAGGAACAGAAGCAGCCACAGGCGGCAGCGGCGACGGCGGCGGCCGGGACGGCGACGGCGACGGCGACACGACAGACGACAGGACGCCCGCAGCGGCACAAGCGGCGGCGGCTGCCGCTCGCGCGGGGCGGAGCGGAATGGACGTGCCAACCCAGCCCGTGGCGCGGGCGGGCCCGAGCCCTTGCACCGCCGTGTCCGCGATGCTTGACGAGGCCATGGGTTGTCAGGGGAACGGGGGAACTGGGGGAAAGGGGTAGACGAGGACATCACCTGCAAACAAAACGCGCGAAGAACACTCTGCGGTGGGTCAAGCTCGGAGGATAATTACGCGAGCACTTTGTGTGTGGTTTTTGGCAGGGACGGCGGGGATGCGGTTATGTGGCCTGCAATGCGCAGGACCATCGTTCCCATCAAATAACAGCACAACATGCACTTCGCGGCTAAATCTTGGTCGTGCGCGGGCACCCTGCGGTCAGGTTGCACTGTTTTTTTTGACAGGGGCGGCGGGGGTGCTGGCACGCTGCCTGCCGTGTGTAGGCCCACCAGGAATCATGATGGCCACCCCGCCGCGACTGTCGAATGGCTTCCGGCAAGGGTGGTGGATGCGGACCTGTTTCCCGGTGTGCGCGGGCGCGCCTGGCACGCCCTGAGCGTGCCCGCACCTGGCGCGCCCAGAGCGTGCGGCACACCGGACGCACGTGGAGCAGGTGGCGCATCTGGCGCACCAGGCGTGCCTGGCTCGCTTGGGCCTCCGGGGCGCCTGGCGCGCCTGGTGCGCGTGGCGCGCCTGGCACGCTTGGCGCGCCTCGCCTCAGCGCGGCGCACTTGGAGTCTGTGTTAGTTCCTGGTAGCTGTCCATGCAATGACGGCCGCTTAACTCGGATGCTACGTGTGTGTTGGAGAGGCGGCTGGGAAAGAGCCAAATAGTTTTGCGTCCGGGGGATGTCCCCCAGGCGTCTGGATGGAGGGGGGGCGGAGGTGTCAGGGGGGCTCGTTTCGCCCAAGATGGCTCCAAGAGGGCCTCCGATGCTCCAAGATGGCCTCCACGATGGCTCAAGATAGCCGAAGATGGTTCCATATAGCTTCTGACGTAGCTCCGATGGCCACAAGACGGCTCCAAGTCCTAACTCAGTCAAACGCCTAAGAGAGATCAGGAGTGTTGCCTTCCTGCCTTTTCGCGCCCGATGGCTCCTGCGGCCTCGCGGTGGCCCCAAGATGGCCCAAGAGAGCCCCAAGAGGGCCCAAGAGGCCCCCCGAACGGCCACAAGAACAACCGAGAGGGCCCCAAAAACACCCCAAGGTGGTTTCAAGACCTCGCCATCTGCAGGTTACGCCACAGCTTGCATCGTGGGCTGCGCCATCCATGGGCAGCTGCACAGGTTGTACCCTCGGCCGCAGAAACCAAAGATGACTGCTAACGGGTGCGACCGAACAGACGAAAGCAACCGCACCTCCAGAACAATCAAACAAACATAGGCTACGGAAACAAACGACTCACTTTATTGGCCGGCGGCGTTGGAAAGAACCCGCTGCGCTCGAGGCTAGCGTGTGGATGCCACGGCAAGCGAATCGGGCGCCGAAGAACAGGAAGCGACGCAAACGCCCCCTAAAGCACATATACATACATATGTATACATGTATATATATATATATGTATGTGTGTGTGTGTGTTTGTGTTGCCGACTGTCCTATCAGAATCTCTCGAAGCCTCGGTTCGCCGAAAGGCCACCTTTCCCTCCCCGGGGCCTTCTTGGCGCCACTCGCGGCCTGCGTCGCGGCCGACACCAGGCCGCCCTCGTGGGGCGAGAGGGAGCGGGGGGCGCAGTCAAGACCTCAACCTCTGGAGTCCTGATGCTCCTCCCCCTCCTCTTCCTCGCACTCCTCCTCATCCTCCTCCTCCTCCTCCTCCCTCCTCCCTTGTCCTCCATTCTTTTTTCTTTATGAATAACCCCTCCCTGTCGCGACCCAAGGCTGGTCGAAAGGGCGGGCCGGGCGTTCAGCCTAAGAATTTCTCTCTATCTGTGATCCTGGAACTTGATCAAAGTTGCAACAGCTTCCCGGATGGAGGGCAGGCAGATTTCAAAATTTGGCTCTCGCCTTTGCGCCGCGCGCATTCGTGCTTAGCTGCAGCTGTTTCACGGGTTGAGGGCGGGCACTTTCAAATGTTGCTCTCGCCTTAGCGCCGCGCGCAATGGCAAGAGTTTCGCGGACTGAGTGCGGATCCTTTTTCAGAAAAGGGTTCTCGCCCTAGCTCCGCGAATACTCGTTTTTAGAGTAAGGCAACCGTTGCATGGATTCCCGTGGTGAGCGAACCAGGCATTGGCGCTCTGAAGCAACTCGGGATGGCCAGGGCGCAAGACTCACGCTTTACGCTGATTCGCGGCGAAGTCACATGAATGGTGTCCTGGCACGGCTCAGGATCGCCAAAGCGCATCATTTGGACGCCCGAAATCGATACGGGGAAAATGGGTACAATGCCCAACAACAAATACTGTCCCAAACCAACAGCGGCCGCTGTTGGGCAGGCGGCCTTCTGTCTCGAATGGACACAGGCCGCGGCGGCGTGGACATCGAACCCTGTTCAAAATGAACAGGAACTGTTGTTGGGCATTGTACCCATTCTTTCCGTACCCATGTAGGGCGTCCAGGCAACAGTCAGGTTGACTTGGGGCATCGAAGTTCCACGACGTGGTTGGCACGCTTCAGGAGATTCTAATATTTTCAGTGGATATGAACCCTTGTATGGGGCCCGTGAAGAGGAAGCTTTTAAGGAGAGTTTCTTCCTGCATCGTTGATGTGTCTTGGGCTTGCACTGGTCATCATCTTCCTCCTTCTCCTCTCCCTCCCCCCTGTGCAATGCTCCCCCTCCTCGTTATAGTCCTGCTCAAGCTCCTCACTCTCTCCCCTCGTCCTCTACACCCCCCCATCCCCCCCACCATCCTCCTCAGAACCGACGCGCCATGTGATGGGTTCACGTGAGACGGTTGAGCCCATTTCGCGGGGCACGTGAGCGGCTGACGGGCTGGGGGGGGCTGGTCCTCACAGGAGGGCGGCGCAGCACGACACAGCACAACATCATGCCCACACGCAGCGTGCGTGCCGCTCCTCCACTCCCTCCTGGCCCTCCGCCTGCTCATCTCATCTCCTCGCCGCCTCCGAGGCGGCCGGCCTCCCTGCCGGCAGATCCTCCCATGATCCTCCTGCGCCCCCCCCCCCTCCGTCCCCTCCTCCCCATGCTCAGATGCGACATGGTGAGTCTACCAGCTCGTATGCGCTCAGCAGCACCGTGGCCCTCGTCCACCGCCGCGCCGTCGTGATCCACGTCCTTCCTTTCCTGCCTGCTCCTCCTCGTCACGTTCCCCTCTCCCCTTGCCGTCGCCACCAAATCCACGTCATGCCTGCCATCGTCTTTCACCTCCTCATCAGCGCAGGCTTCACTGTAATCCTCCAACTCCTCTATCCTCTGCTCATCTTCCTCCTCCTCCTCATCCTCCTCCTCCTCCTCCTCTCGGCTCACCCCCCTTTTGTCCTCATACGCTGCCTTATCAGACTCCTGCCCCTTCACCTAATACCCTCTGGTCTACCCATCCTCTCCCTGGCCCTCCACCTCATCCTCTCTCAGATCCCTCCCGGACGCGGTTCTTGGAAACATGGCCGTCTCGCGTGAGACACCCAAAACTTTGAAAACCTACGTATTCTGAAGTTGCATTGCAATCGCGTGTTGTAGAGCCCTTTTCATGAGCAAAACGCATCGCAAAGTGTGGCACATCTGCCTGCGGCCTTGCCAACACCCCTCTGGTGCTCCTCCTTCTGGTTCTCAATTTCCCTCGGCTCCTCCATCTCCTGATTGTTTCTACTCCTCCTCGGATCCGATTTTCGATTCCCCTGCTTGCCCACCTTCTGCGTTGGCTGCGTACTGCAAGTGTGATGTATGAGCCTGGGCACGCCTGTGACATGCGTATGTGCATACACGTATACATACATCTCTATATATATATATATATATATATACACATTGATATCTCACAGGGGGGGGCCGAACGGTCATTCATTGTCCTTGGGTGCGTGGCTGATGTGGGGGTCCGTGATGAATTCGATGCCTGCGGCGGGCTGCCTTGCATCGGTTTACGCGAACGCCCGCGACCCCAACGCTGTCACTCAACAGCGTGTTAAAATCGGCGCCGCGGCGGGCTCGTTGTATAGCTTGAAAAAGGTATGCGCCTGCGGCGGGCTTCTTCTGAGCCTCGCAGACTGCCGACGCCCCCCGACGCCCCCTCACTCTTATCCGCAACGACGGGATGCTACGTATAAAGAGAAGGCGTACCATATGATTTCGCATGTAAACATGTATATACATATATATATACACAGGTATATATATATATATATATATAGATATGTCAACATCTGTATGTACGTTTATAAGCATGTCATGTCCATACATATTTGTATATGACTTCGCGGTATACGGAGGGAGAGAGAGAGAGAGGGTACCCAAAAAACAAACAAACTACGGAGAAATAGAGAGGACTATACAATCATATATATATATGGAGAGAGAGAGAGAGAGAAAGAAGAGAGAGAGAGAGAGAGTGAAACATGCAATGCGCACGACGAGCTGATGTTGAGAAGGCTGCAGGTTCCCGCCCACCCACCACGCCCAACCCCGCGGGGCAGAGGAAGCCCAGGGCCCCCCGGACGGAGTGCGGGCGGAGACTCAGAGGAGGGAGGAGCCCATCAAATTCAACACGCTGCAAATGTTCACTCAATTCAATGCGTTTGCTTTCTCCCTCGAAGCAGCCGCGATCTGACCAACGCCAATCTTTCGAACACAGGTCGTTACGTGCTGCGCAACCAAATCTATAGATATCCCGCTCTGTGGAATAATCCCATAATCAAACGAGGCCTCGCATTGTAAGAAAGACCCACAACTTCCCAAAGGGCTGGGGGGGACGGGCCCGCAAAAGCTGATGGGCAAGATTTGCAGTACGAGCTCAGTTCACCTTGGCACCATTCATCGAAACCCATCCTTCACAGACCCACTTCGCCAAAATGTACACACCGAACTGAATTTCAGGAAACCTCAAAAATCCGCACCCCCACCACACCCCCACACACGCGGGGCAGAGGAAAGCCAGGGGCCCCAGGACGGCACGCGGACGGAGACTGAGAGCAGGGCGAACCCCATCGAACTCAACACGCTGCAAGCTTCCACTCATTTAATTTGCTTTTCGCTCGAGGCAGCCGCGATCTTTCCGAAGCCCATCTTCCGCCCGCAATCCGTAAGGCACTGCGCAAACTATCTCCAGATGTCCAAAGCTGTGGAAGAATTACATGATCAAGCGAGGCCTCGATTTCTACGGGCTCAGACTTGCCGACCTCCGCCTGCGACCAGCATCCAGGCCGTGGCTTCGCACACGGATCAGAGCCGATGCCCGCCTGCGTACAGGACTCAATCGAAGACACCCAGCGGCCGAGACGGAACTACCAGGGCGGTCGCGCGGTGGGCACGTGCAGGATCCCCTGAGCTGAGAGAGGAGCTCGCAGCACCGACGCATCCACGGCATCCTCCATGGCCTTGCGAACTCTGGCCGCGAGGCGCTCCCGCCCCGCACCCGGATCGGCCCCCAGTAGGGCCCACAGCGGACCAGCCCACTGCAGCTCGAAAGCAAGACGCGCAGTAGTAGTACCTGACGGCCAGGGCCTCCTGCCCCGCACGCACCACCTCCCAGTCCCAAAGAAAGAAGCCCTCCGTGACATGGAACTGGGCAGAGACACCGGCGCCCTGGCAGGCACTGATGTGACGGCTGACCGGGAGTTCGACTGCGATCGCCTCCGGGACCACTGCCATGCCGCGCTCGGGATCGGCCACGATGTCGGGCCTCGAGCGCCCGACCACGCTTCATCCAACGTCTGCCAAACCACTCCACTCCCTTTTGCCTACTCCCCTGCCGCTGCTCGGATCGAGCATCTCGAGGCCCCCCTCGGGATCGGGAGGCAGCCGCCAGGCGCCCTCCACCTTGCCCTTATTGCTGATGCCTCGGCCCTTCTCCTTGGCGTCCTTGCCACCGCTGCGCTCCTCAGCTCCAGCTGGTGCTCCATCTTGCTGTGGGCGGCAGCCTCGCTGATCAGCCACGTCGGGGCTATGTCCGCCTCGTTGCCAAGGGCCGTCGCCACCCTGAGCCGCGCGGTCCCTACTTAGCCCTGCACCCGAGACTCGTAAACGCCGTAAACGTACGCCGACAAGTGACGCAAACCGATTTCCACGTTGTCGTTGCTGGCCAGCACCACCATCAGCTCCGCGTCCGTCATGCACCTGCCTAGCTCGAAGTCCAGAGCAGCCGCCGTACTCCACAGGGGCTGCCACTCATTTTCTCCACGCTACCCTTGAAACTACTGCTGCAGCCAGTGTCGGACACTGGTGCTTCCCGCCGCCCGACTGTTCCTGCAGATCTCAGACCCTGCTCGTCTGAAGTCGGGCGGACGGCAGCGAATGGGCACATGCATCTATCTCCTGGCCTCCTGATGAGACGGGCGCGCCAAAGGCCCTGGAGGACACGCCGCCACCGAGGTTCTCGAACCCCTGGAGCACCACCTCCAAAGCCTTGACGTCGGGCAAGGTCTTCCTCTCGGCGCCGATGTACCCGCAAGCGGCCAATGTGGCTCGCACCGCAGGATCCAGGGCCCCCGCCGTCTCCATCTGCGCCGCCCCTGCCAAAAGTGCACGGCCCACCAAGGGCTCGTGCTCGCCGAGCTGGTCTTCATCAAGAGCTCCTTCACCGCTGTCGCGCTCCCTGCGGCGGACACCCCTGCCTGCTTGACAAGGCCGCCGACCCCTTGCACACCGCCGCACAGCCAGTGACGGCCGCGGCCGGCACCGCAGGGCCGCCAGCCCCCAGCGCGCCAGGCACAAGGCCTGGGGAGGCGCGGCAGACGCCAACGCTCCCGGTCCAGGACATCGCCCCGCTCTCGCCCCGGCCCGCGGCGAAGGCGTGGAAGGCGTCAATGCTGTGGTCCACGGGCTGAACGGGAGCCGCTGGGGCAGCGGCCGCGGGCCACCCGGGCGGCAGCGCGCCCCTGGCGGCGGAAGCGGCGGCTGCGTGGGGGCCCCCACTCCCGCTGAGGCGTCGGCAACTCCAGCTCCTTCGGGCCCTAGGGTGACCGCGGCCAGCTGAGCCCTCAGCGCCTCCAAGTTAACCTCTCACGGCCACTGGCCTCACTCCACCATCTGCCGATCCATCGGCACAGGAGCTAAACCTGGGCGATGACGGCACACAGCGAGCCCAGGCCAAGGCGTGTGATGGCTCCACGCCCAGCGCACTGAGCTCTACCAGCACGCCCACGCCAGTGAGCGCCCTCGGCGGGATCCAGCGCATGAAGCCCTCGGACATGGCGGGCTTTGCCCCAGGCGCGGGGGCCATCAGTGTGTGGCGTAGAACATCACTTACCTGGGCGGTCACCGCGCGCCTTGGCCCCTCAGGCATCAACCGCTGCGATTGACCACGAAGAGGCTATGGAGAATGTTTGCAGCAAGAGCTCCTTGGACCTCAGCACTACAAGTTGAAACCCGGTGTCCACAGGCTCACTTTACCATTGCATACTGCACACGATATATTAAAACAGCTATGTATACATATAGGCATGTACCTTTACATACATCTATATATCCGCCGGCCCCCTTGTGGGGCCACCAGGCTGTAGGCGCGGGATTCGCAGTTTCCTGTGTCAGTTGTAGCTTGTAGTTTCCAGTGTTACAGTTCTGCTTCTTGCTGGTTGCTGTAACTAGTTGATTGACCGCGCGAGGGGGGGGGAGGCTCAAACCAGATATTTAGCACCTCCTGGGCGCATTGTCTGAATTGCTGGGGGGGCTCGAAATCGACACCCCTCACGCAGATCCGCGGGGTCAGGGTCCAAAAACACATGGGATTTGCCACATTTCTGAAATTCGGTGCCACCCCTCACGCAGATCCGCGGGGTCAGGGTCCAAAAACACAAGGGATTTGCCACATTTCTGAAATTCGGTGCCACCCCTCACGCAGATCCGCGGGGTCAGGGTCCAAAAACACATGGGATTTGCCACATTTCTGAAATTCGGTGCCACCCCTCACGCAGATCCGCGGGGTCAGGGTCCAAAAACACATGGGATTTGCCACATTTCTGAAATTCGGTGCCACCCCTCACGCAGATCCGCGGGGTCAGGGTCCAAAAACACATGGGATTTGCCACATTTCTGAAATTCGGTGCCACCCCTCACGCAGATCCGCGGGGTCAGGGTCCAAAAACACAGGGGATTTGCCACATTTCTGAAATTCGGTGCCACCCCTCACGCAGATCCGCGGGGTCAGGGTCCAAAAACACAGGGGATTTGCCACATTTCTGAAATTCGGTGCCACCCTTCACGCACATCCATCGCAAGGCGTGGTAACCCAAACTGCGAGAACTCCCTCGGCCCTTTAATCGCAAGGTGTGGTAACCAAGCCCGTAAACCATACACGTCTTACCAATCGCCAGGTGTGGTAACCCCTCTTGTGATCAGTTGGTTTTGCTGATTGCGAATCGGCTTCGCACGAAGTTTCGATACTGCTTCACGACAGCGCCAAGGCCTCATGACTTAGCTCTTCCATGGCCCATTCTCCGAGAGAGGGGGCCGGCGGCAGGGGGCGAAGCCCTTACGGATATAATATATAACATACATAAACGCATCACTTTTATACACGCATATATGTATCTATGCATGTGTATCGAAGGGGGGGCCAACACCGCCTGAGGATCGACGAGCGATGCTCCAGAGACCAGGGCTTGAAAAGGCAAGATGAATGAGGAAAGGACGGCGGAGACAGAAAAGGGGAGGGAGGAAGGAAGGAAGGGAAGGGAGGGAGAAACAATGGACGAGGGAGGACAACATGGAGACGGTGGACGAACAAATCCAGAAAGAGGAGGATAACAACGAAGAGGAAAAGTGTGATAGCGTGGAGTAGGGCGGAAGCGGGCGACGAGGATGGGGGATAATACCCTCCCTCAGCTTGGAAACATCTATTCAATTGCGGCCCGCCGTCCTTAGAATCCGTGACATTGTCCAGCGCATCCTCACCGGAGGTCGCTCAAACTTTCTCATTCATCCTCCGACGCCCTCCCTCCACCCGCCCATCCTCTCTACCCTACCTCGTCCTCCTCCTTCTCCTCCCCACCTCCTCCTCCTCCTCCTCCTCCTGCTCCTCCTCCTCCTCCTCCTTTTGTCCTTCCTGATGCTCCGCCCCCCGTCATGCTCCCTTGTGGGATAACTCGCAACGTCAACCAGGTCCACAGGAAGAGGAGGAGGAGAAGGAGGAGGAGGAGGAGGAGGAGGCGACAGCAGGAGGGAGAGAGGACCCAAAAAGCCTGGGGCCAGTTCCAGTGCCTGTGTGCGCGCACAGCGCCATGGACTATTCCAACGCCTCGCACGCCAGTGCAGATTGAATTGCACATGCAACTCTCGACAGCAAGCAAGCCGTGTCCGAGCCCCACGAAACTAGAATACGGCAGTCGGACGGAAGAAAGGGCCAAAGAACACGAGGACGAGGTCAGGAGCGAGAGCGAGGAAAGCACATTCAGGGGCACAAGGCTGCGCGTGCATGGGCAAAGAGCAAAGGGCAGTCACAGGACAGCTGGTCAAAGGTGTGGTTGTATCTGATGGGGCACTAAAGCGCTCAAAAACTTACCAACAAAAACCCTAGAGCGGCAGAGAGTCAAGCCTGCAGCCTCGAAGGACGGCAGGAAAAGGGGTGAAGCAAGACATGCAAACCACACCTTCAGGACACCGAATATGCAGAAGAAAGAACAAGGGGGAGAAGGGAGAGGAACAGCAAGCGCCCAATTGGAGCCTCTACGCATGACGTGCCACAAAACACGAAGGCCGTTTGTCCCGACATTCAGGGTGCTGTTCTTGTCCGCCCCCGCTCTCACGAAGAACTGTACGCCTCCGCGCTGGCGCCACGCCAAGTTCAGCGTCGACGCCCCCGGGATGCCGTAGACAGACACAGTCATAGACAAGCTACTCGCAGCAAGACACAGCAACGCCAGCTGCCGCGAGCAGCCACCCAGCGCCCCCGATCAGATAACCAACGCGCGATGCCTACAACTCCATGTTCTCTTTCCTCTCTTTCCTCTGTTTCTTCGCGGCGTGAGCACCTTCGTTCGAGCCGCCGCTGGGCTTGCTTACGGTACCCTCTGTCGGGAGCTCTGGGGTAGTGCTCTGCTTGTGCAATCCGACGCCATGGTCAATGCTCGTATATCGTCTTGACCTGAGCCGGTGACGTCCTTTGATGCGTTGGTATCTTCGCAAAGGATGTCACGTAGATCTCATCGGCCAGCTTCTCGGAGAACTTGTCCATGCCGATCGGGAATTCCCAAGGACGCCAGCCAGACCCATCAGAAGAGAGGTGGCTCGAAAAGTTGCCGGTCGCATCGAACTCCCTGATGCAATTGGTTGCATGGCAGGCAAACGCCACAACGGCCAATGCAGACCGGGTCGGGCGCGACATGCCAGACAAACTGATTGAGCTCTCGAAGCCCGCGACATGCCAGACAAACTGATCGAGCTTTCGAAGCCCGAAAATGCAGAGCACACACACACACACACCTTGAAAGCCAGAGGAGCGACGCAGGAGGGGAGAGCTGGGCATTGCTTAATGGGGGGGGGCGATAAAAATGGTGGGGGGGGACGGGCGCGCTCCTCGGGCGCCGAAGGCCTCCTTTCGGGGGGCCCTGAGGGGTCCCCGCAGGGGCCCTGGAGGAGCTCCTGTTCTGCAGCCCTCACTCTCTTGGCCTTGGCGTAAGGCCCCGCCTTCTTCTTTCCTGCCTCTGCTAACTAAAGCTGTGCGAAAGGGGGGATAGCAAAGGGGGGGATAGCAAAGGGGGGGGGGGTGAGAATCGGCTCACGTAGCTGATTTTCCCGGCGCCTCCCGGCGGCGGGGCCGAAACCAGCTGCATGCAGCAGATTTCGTACCCCCCCCCTTGCCCAATCCCCCCCTTTCGTCCGGCCCGACTGTTCTGCAGCCCTCGCTGCCCATCGCCCCTCCCTCGCGCAAAGCCCAGAGGCTCGCACCAAAGGGCCCTGCGGTCGCGACGCAACGCCGGGCGGGAGGGGATGGGCGGCGGGATACCTGACGCTGGGGGGCGTACATCTGGGCGCCCGAGATGGGCACGGAAACAAGGGGCACAATGCCCAACCGCAAATGTTGTCGAGAGGAGGAGGAGGAGGAGGAGGAGGAGGAGGAGGAGAAGGAGAAGGAGGAGGAAGAGGAGGAGGAGGCGGAGGAGGAGGAGGAGGAGGAGGAGGAGGAGGAGGAGGAGGAGGAGGAGGAGGAGGAGGGACAGGCGAGCGTCACCACGGAGCTGCAGTTTGGCCGTTCGGGCCGTGGGGCCTTTTGCTTCTCTTCGGGTGGGCGGGCCAGCCCTCGCCAAGAGAAACGATCCAACCCCAAAACTAAGTCATGCGATCCGAGCAAACAGCAGCTCTCGCCCAGCCCAGACAGCACAAGGCGTTGGGACCCGCGAGACATACATCCAGCGACTTTTGTCTTGGTCACAGTTTGGGTGTTGGGGTGATGGTGGGGGTGTTGGAATGAGGTTTTCTGTGATGGCGTCAAGGTGCAAAGTAGAGGCTTCTTACATATGAGTTCCGACTGGATGGGGTGAGAAGGTCGGGCCGCATCACCGATGCATCGGCGACGTCGGCGTGGACCAAATTGGGCTCCGCATCGAAACACATCGCCGATGCATCGGCGATGCGGCGCGACCCTCGGACCCCAGTTGGGAGGCCCAGAGCTAGGTTCAGGGTGCTCAGGAGGGTTACCCTTGCGTGCAGCCGATGCTCGGGCGGGGGGGGGCCGTGCACACGGTCGAGCCTCTTGTTTAGCGTGTCGCGGCGGCGGCCCTGGCGGCACGCCATGCGCTGCAAGCGGATAGCGCGCCGCTCCGCCAGGCGTGGCGGCAGGCTGGGAACAGCTCGGGACGCTGATGCTTGGGGACTGGGACGTGGATAGCGTGTCGCGCTGTGGCGCGATGGGCCAGAACCAGCAGCGCGACACGGTAGGCCAGAATTTCCGACCGTACTTCCGTTGGCTTCCAACTCCGTGTGTTCTGGGGCGTGCTCTGGGGCGCCCTGCTCGCAGACGCACTGTCGGCGCCGTGAGGGAATTCCGGCGACGATGCGCGGCCGCCGCCCCACATCTCCAGCCCCGTGTTTGCTCCGAGTCGCCAGCCGTAATCGAGGCTGGAAATGCCGGCGGTTTCGAAACAAGAGCACCCATCAAACGAACTCAATAGGCAGGGCGACGCCAACCCCCGCGCCACCGATGGCAATGTTCAGATTCGCGTGCAAACGTGCAGACCGCCTCTTGCAACAGAGAGCGATGTTGCGAAACGATGTACACTCCCTCCGCGAAGTTTGAATTTGGTGTTCGAGGTTTGGTCCTGGTTCAACGTGCCTTGAACCTTAAACATGGGTGTGTTCCCAGTACCACTATAATTGACATTCTGCATAAGCATCACTGGGAGCGAAACCCTCAACAATCGCACGAATAAGAAACGAATCGAGTCGGACACGGCCAGGCATCAAACGCACGGGGCTACCTCGAGCGCGTAAGACATGTGGATGCGGGATGGATGCTATTGACCACTTGCGCCTGGAGCTATCCGCCTATCCCCCCAGGCCACGTGCTTCTCATCTGGCGAGTCGCTTCTTTGCTGGCCCCAGGACCGGAATGGACACCGCAGACGCCGAGAATTGCAACAAAAACCTCCAGCACGATGTTGCTCGAGTCGTGAAGCGGTAAGGGTACTGCTCACCCTGACACTTTGAATCCAACGAATGGTGCATCTCTTTTTCGAGGCAAGTTTGTCACTTCTCCTGACCTTCCGCCTGCGAAACTGCCCCACCCCTGCTTGATTCCCGGCGCCTTCCGCCAGCACCCTTCCGCGGAAGAGAAGCAGTCATTCCCTCAATGCCTCAGGACTGGAGCCCTTGCTCGAACGCCCCGTGTGGACAAGGCCCCCCCCCGCTGGATCCTTGGCGCCGTCGGCAGCGTCTCCCGCCGTCTTGGTCGCTGCGTCGGCCACCTCCTTGGGCCGCTTGCCTGCCTCCACCACTCCCCTCCCGTTTCCTGGCGTTTCCTCCCCACCTCCCCCCTCCTGGCCACCCCTCCCTTCCCCATCCCCTCCCCTCCCCACCCCATCCCTCGCCCTCCCCTCGTTCCCCCCCCCCCCCGCCATCCCTCCCGCCATCCCTCCCCTGTATTCCCCTGTCCCTTCCCTACCACCTTCCTTCCCCCCCCCCGTCCTCCTTCCCCGCCCCCCGCCCCCTCCCCCCCGCCCCTGGCCCTCCCCCACACACACACACTCACACACACACACAGCCACGCACGCACGCACGCATGCACGCACGCAAGCACGCGCGCACGCACGCACGCACGCACGCGCGCACGCACGCACACACCCCCACCCACCCACACCCACACCACACCCACACCAACACCCCCCCCCCACCACCTCCCCCCCCCCCCTTCCTCCCCCCCCCCCACCCACCCACCCACCCACCCACCCACACACACACACACACGCGCACACACACACACAGAGACAGACACACACACACAGACACACACACACACACACACACACACACACTCTCTCTCACACACACATACGCGCGCGCACGCACGCACGCACGCACGCGCACGCACGCACACGCACATGCACACGCACACACAATGTGCAAGGCAATCAAAGGGTGTTGTTGCCGTGCCTGGCATCGAGGAACCTCCTCCCGAAGAAAAGGATGTAAGGATGGTTTGACTTCTTGGTTCGCTCGCAGAACGCATGAATTCCCCGACATGTTTCCAGAACCTGACAGCAAAGGCCGTTCATTTCACTGATGCCTTCTGCATGCCCGTCCTCGCCTCGTTGACTCTCTGTCACGGCGTTCTTGGTGCAATTATTTCTTGGCGTGGTGTAGGTCTGTCCAGGTCTCTGCTTGTCGGCTGTCCTTTGGCGTCCTACCCGAGCTAACTATTGCTCTGCCACCATGGCGCTCGGTCGGTTGCAGCCGTCAGTCCGTCGTGAGAGGTACCATCCAATCAGGCACTGCCATCGTGAGCACTCAGCGAACTCGCGTGTTTACGCTACTGGATGCAATCATTCTCTTGCGCGCCGTAGGTCTGTCCAGGTCTCTGGTTGTTAGCTGTCGTCCTGGCGTTCTGTCCGTGCGCAGTGCTCCGTCCCTTTCGCACTAACTGCGTGTAGCCTTCAATCCGTTGTGTGAGGTGCTCTGCCCCGCCTGCCTTCCCCCTCGGGTACCCCCCTTCGCCCTCGAATCAACGCTGGGCCTGTGGCAGTGCCACCTGCCATCAGCCCGTCTTCACTGTGGCGAAGCTCCTCTTTTGGGCTCGTGCCCGCTTTCAATGGCTTAGTGCTGACTGTCCAATCTTGTTTTTTTGTTAGCAGCCGCAGGCGAGAGCGCACAGCGGCGAGTCAGGTCCGAGCGGGCCGCGCAAAGACGAATTACCTAACGCTGACGGGCCGGCGGACTCAGGCGGCGCCTAGGCGGGTGGGCCGGCGAGAGTGGGGGCGCAGGCTGCGGCTGCCAGGGAACTGGTCCAAGGCGGGCACTACTGTCCAATCTTGCGTTGCAACGTTGGCTTTCTGGGACGCCCTATACACTGGCATCCGGCACGCAGGTAGCCTGTGACATCTGTATGCTGTCTCGGGCCGCTTTGTTTCTGGTGCTCTACGGCTGGTTTTGCCTTCCCTAGGTTCCCTTCCTCCCGGTTGGGTTGGCGCACGCCCACTGGGCCTTCGAGCCTCCCATGCCCCTCCTCCCACTGGGTGTGGTCTCACGCCTGGGTCAGGGGATCTGACTCGCAGGCTCCTTTGTTCTTGCTCTTACGTGCGTTACGCATTCTGTGCTTCGTTGTGCACTGCGACAGGCTGACAGTGAGCCTCATGTGGATCAAGATCAGGGATCTCATCACCCACAGGTTGCAGTGCCTGCCTGCCCGCACATTGGTCCACGCCCCTCTCTCCCGCCCTGTGCTCTCACCCCCTCTATCAGGCACCCCGGCAGGCTTCAGGCGACACGGCGTCGTCAGCAGCTACCACGACCCCCCGAAAGCCCCACACCTCACCAGCCTCGAACTCATCCCTATCCCTAAGATTGACACGCCAAGCAGCGATGATGACAATCTTAGGGATGCGCCCTCGGAAAATAAGGGAACCCCTAAGATTGGCATCGTGATGAGGAGATGCCCAGCATAGGGACAGGGACATGTTCCAGGCTGGTAAACACCGCTACGAACGCCTCCCCCGGCCAGGTCGACACGCCAGGGCCTCGGGGCCCCGCAGCGGGCCCGGGGCTCGCCCGCCGGAAACCCGCCCCCGGAGCGCGGCCGAGGCACGCCCAGACCAGGCCCCCCGAAGGCGAAGCGGGGGCCTCGGCGACCGGCGCCCCGGGCCCGATGGGCCGACACGCACGACCCCCACCCCCTCCCACAACAGAGGGCTCCCAACTTCGCGCTTCGCGCGAAGCGCGACGTGCGGAGGACTTCGCGCTCCCGCGCCGCCTCCCAGGGGAGAACGGGGAGGAGGAGGAATCGGAGCCGAACCGCAAAGCGCGAAGCGCGAATAGCTTCGCGCCCTCGAGGGTGCCCCTGACCAGTGGACCACCCCCCATGTGGGCTTCGCACCCTCGAGGGAGCCCCTGACCAGTGGACCCCCCCCGTGTGGGCCCCGCTCGCCCTCGCCGCGCTCGCTGCGCCCCTTGTGGTGCCCGCTCCAGGGCACGAGCTGCACGGTGGCGCACGCGCTGCCTCATCCGGCGTCTCGACGTGGGGCGGGAGGGGGGGGGGAGGGGGGAGGAGGGAGGGGGAGGGGGGAGGGAGGGAGGGGGAGGGGGAGGGGGGAGGGCAAGCTAGGTGCGCTCGCGTCATATCTGACGTCCTACCCCTCCCTCCCATCCCTTACCATGGCGCTGATTTTCTCTATCCGCGGACGCGTGTCGTAGCGGACCTGTGGCTCCGCGCGCGCGTGCGTAGTGGGTGGTGGTGCGCGTGCGTGCGTGCGTGCGTGTGTGCGTGTTGTTGTGGTGGTGGTGGTGGTGGTGGTGGTGGTGTTGTGGGCGGTGGTGCTGGTGGTGGTGCTGGTGCTGGTGCTGGTGTGGTGCTGGGTGGTGGTGGTGGTGGTGGTGGTGGGTGGTGGGTGGGTGGTGGTGGTGGTGGTGGGTGGTGGTGGTGGTGGTGGTGGTGGTGGTGGTGGTGCGGCGCGGTGGTGGCGGGCGGATGGGCGCGCGAGAAAGAGGCCCGCGCTGGGGCGAGAACGCCATCCTGAACGACGGAGGCCAAACACCGATCCGAAAATGAGGCCCACGCTGCAGCGGGAGCACGATTCGGAACGATTCGGGAGCAGAAATGAGGCCGGCGCCTCAGCGAGAGCAGCATTTTAGAAAAAAACACAAGCGAAAACCCAACTCCGGGGAATCCTGTGTGTAAAAAAACAGTACGCGGGGGGGTGCCGAATATCTTCCGGACGCCATCAGGGGAAGTGGGAGAGTATTTTCATATTGTGTAATTGTGGAGGGGGGGGGGAGGGGGGGGGGGGGGTCTGGCTCCGGACCTCCGCTTAGTCCGTGCGCCGGTCTGCAGCAGTGCGTCCCTCTGGGGGGAGACCCCGCCTGCTCGAGACAGGAGCCGAAATCAGCCAAGATCTCTACTCCATTCGGGTCGGACGAAAGGGGGGATAGCAAAAGGGGGGTTTGAGAATCAGCCCACGTAGCTGATTTTCCCGGCGCCTCCCGGCGCCGGAGGCGCCCATTTATCGAGGAATGGGCCCCTCGGTGGGGCCGAAACCAGCTGCATGCAGCAGATTTCGTAACCCCCCCTTTCTCAATCCCCCCCTTTCGTCGTGACCCCCCCTTTCTCAATCCCCCCCCTTTCGTGGGGCGGGAGGGAGGGAGAGGGGGGGGGGGTCTGGCTCCGGACCTCCGCTTAGTCCATGCGACCGTTTGCATCAGTGCGTCCTTTGGGGGGAGACTCCACCTGCTCGAGACAGGTAGGGGGCCAGATGCGAACCCTAGCCCTACCCCCCACGATTTCTGAGGGGGAGGGTGGGGTTCACTTCGCTCGGGAGCTCCCGAACGAAGTTGAACGCATGGGGGTAGGGGTAGGGTTCGCATCTGGCCCCCTAACAGGGGCCGAAATCAGCCAAGATCTCTACTCCATGGGGGGGGGGCAGGGGGTGCGAGGGCCCGCGCCGATCGGCAAAGCAACGAACAAGAGAACGATCACGTGGTATTGTTCGTGCTCGTTCCGTTTTCGTCTTCGCTTTTTTTCCTTCGCTCTGTGTTCGTGCTGTCTCTGCTGCGCAGCGGAGCCAAAGCGAAAGCGGTCCACGGAATCGCCAACACACCGTCCAGCTCGAGCCCTGGCTCCGCCCCGCGACTCCCAGGAGTGACCCTAGGCAAGGACCTTTGGTGCGCGGCTATCGGGGAGCGACCTCTGGGGCGCGGCTATATCGGGGAGCCTCGGGGGGGCCCAACCCGAGCGAGCAAGGCGCTGCTGTCGTATCGCGCTCGGCGATCAGAGGACCCGAGCGGGCCCGCAGCAGAAGGCCACGCCGGCGGAGGGCCACTCTTCCGTGCAGTCCTCCGTTCCACGGGGGAGCCCGCGGGGCCTCGGGCGCTGTACGCTTTGGGGCCCAGCTGGGGCCACGTGTGGTGCACATGCAGAGCAAGGTCTGGACAAGGTTTGGACCTCGCCATCGCTCGGACGTCCATTCCCTGTGTTTTTTTTGGTTTCGTGCGTGGATTTCTCGCCAAATGATCAAGGATGCTCCTCGATGGCCCTCGCCGAAGGAAAAATGCACACGTCCGAGCGATGCCAGGTGGACCGGGCGACGAGGGCCAGGAAGGGCGAGGAGGAGCGAGAGGAGGGGCCAACGGGGGCTTCAAATGCGGTCCCGATGCAGGGAGAGCTGGTGTCACTGTCGCCGCCCAAGGCTCCCATGAACAGACAACAAGCGTCCTCCCCTCTCCCTCGCACGCCTCTTGGCTGTACGCCAGTGTGGCGCAATGCAAGAATAACCTTTTGTGCGCGGTTTGTGAACCGTTGCATGCGATGCGACAGGAGCGGTCCACGATGACTCTGGACGACATGGGTACGATAGAAGACAGCAGAAGAGTTACCCCTGGAAGCCAAAAGTCATAAGCTGAGAGCGAACAGGCCATCCCGTACCAAGCCATTGGGCCGAATTGTACACATAACTACGAGGTCCCGATTCGCATGCATGTCTGCATTTCCCTGACGCTTTGACTACACCGTTCTCAGCATCAGCGACACCCCCGCATCCATCCTGACAAGTCTGCGCCCTTCTCCTGGTCAGAATCGGAGATCCACATCTGGCGGGCTGGGCGTTCCACAAGTGGTGCGGTGCCAAACCGAGCAGCGACCTCGAGGTGACAGAAGACCTCACCGCACGGTCCGCCACAGCACGGTGTTGTAAAACAGGGCTAGGATCGGGATAAATCGCTCCAGAGCGTTCCGGAGCGCTCTCAGAGCGTTCCGGAACGCTCTGGAGCGGCCGCGGCGCCCAGTACATCCTCCAAACCCGCCGATTCTCAGTGATTTCGAGTTATCCCGATCCGATTTTGTCCCGATCTTCGCGTCGTTTTGTGTTGGCAGTCTGGAGGCCCGAGTCGCGAGCCCTCCTCGGAGAGCATGCCCCGAGTCCCGACCCCGCGCGCTCGCCCCCGAATCCTGGCCGACTCGCCGCCCGGCGTGGCCGCCGCACAGTCCCCGGGGCCCCCCCGAGCGCGTGCCGCTCGAGCAGGGTGCGCACCGGGCCCACGCAGCGGGGCGTGACGCGACCGCCCCACGGGGTGCAAGCCGAGCGCGCCAGCTCGAGGGGTCGAGTGGGGGGGATCGACTGCAGCACCGATGGGCCCCAAGACTGGCTTGTTCCCTCGAATCTGCGAGCAATGCGCGGACTGCTCCGTAGAGCATGCTGCGCATTCGGTCGTAGGTTCGACGGGGAATGGAGGAGGAGGCGGAGGAGGAGGAGAGGAGGAGGGGAGGAGGAGGAGGAGGAGGGGGAGGAGGGGGAGGGAGAGGATGAGGAGGAGGAGGAGGAGGAGGAGGAGGAGGGGGAGGAGGAGTTTCGCTTCTGCAGTCGAACCCCCTACCCGAAGGTGTGATGCGGTGGTGCGTACTGGGCCCAGACAGCGGCGCGTGCATCCCAGGGCGTGACGGCTACAGGATGGAGCGTCGTGCAGCCATACATCTTCTCAGAGCAATAGCGCTTCCAGCACTCAGCAGCACCCACAAACATGTCCCCGTCAGCGGGCCCACCGCTCAACCTCCGATGTCTGAAAAAGGAGAGAGATAGAAAAGGAGAGCGAGAGAGAGAACACAAACAGAAAGAGAGAGAGAGAGAGAGGAACAAAGGAACCAGAGAGGGAGGGAAATAAAGACACACAACAATATAATGAACAATAACGGCAGATACAGAAAGAAAAAGAGAGAGAGAGAGAGAGAAAGAGAGAAAGCAAGACGGAAAGAGAGAGAGAGAGGGAGACCGAACACGACAGAGAAAGAGAGAGAGAGAGAGAGAACAAACACACAAAAAACTGTACGGATAGAAACTCACGTGTGGAAAGCGATGGGATTCGACAACCTAAAAAACACGGCACTGATGTAACCAGACACCAGCATGCACAGAGAGAGAGAGAGAGAGAGAAAGAGACAGAGACAGAGACAGACAGACAGGCAGACAGACGGCAGCGATTGCGTGGTCCGCGGCGTCCTCCGTGCTGCCAGCTGCGCCCTGCGGCCGACCGCCCGCCCCCTCGGCATCCCTCCCGCTCGTGCTCCCGCTCCCGACTCCCGCCCAGCTCTCAGCTCGCGCCCCGCTCCTGCTGCAGCTCCGGCCCCCAGCGCCCAGCAGCAGGCGCCGTCCCAAACCGACGGCGGTCGCCCGAGATCGTCAGGGAGCAGGAGGTCCAGCCTCAGACTGGGCACCGCGACGGGCGAGGCCGTTTCGCACACGCACCCAGGGGCGGAATCCAACAGGACGGGGCTCTCCAGGGAACGCCCAGAGCGGTTCGGCAAACGCCAATTCGGGGGCTCGGGGTGGTCTTTCCGCCCTGGGCCTGTGCCGCAGATGGACGGCTCCCGCGGCGACACGGGCAGCGAACATTTTGCTCGAAAACTGGACAGGCGGAGCTCGAATCGCGACAGATCGCAGCAGAGAATGGAGGAAAGTAATCAATCAAATGAGCAACAAGAACAAGTAAATACACTCTTAATCTCGGCTCTGCCGCTGGGCTTCGGCCCCATGCATTCTTCTCCCCACGCACTCCTAGACCGTGCCGAAAAACCTCCCGACCCAGATCTGGCTCCAGCCCTTAGTGGGCCCTGGAGACGACAGGGCCGATTTTGGTACGGGTTCCGTTTTGCCGTTTTTTTTTGCCGGTTCCGACGCCTTTTTTTTACAGGTTCCGTCGCCGTTTTTTGACCGGTTCCGGCTCTGGTTCCAATCCTGGAGCCGTTTTTGTTGCCGCTTCCGGTCGCCGTTTTTTTGCCGTTTCCACTTTCAAAGGGCTTTTTTTTGCAAACGGTGAAAAAACGGCCCTGCCGTTCCCGGGGCCCACAAAGCCCCAGCCTGCGGGCCTGGAAAGACCACCAGGTACTCCGGACCCCACCCTTGAAAGGCGGGTGGTCTGATTCGGGGGGGGGTCTGATCAGAGCTGTCTTGGAGGGCTCCAGGGGGCCTCGGCAATAGGCCGCCCGTTCGCGGCCGGTCTGGGGAAAGGGGGGGGGGTCTTAAACTTCTCGTCTGGGAGGGCTCTGACCCCCTCCCTGCTCTTCCGACAGCTGCAGTACCGACACCGCTGCGGAGATCCTGGCGACTCGCTCAAAGTCGGGCCTGTCGGCCTACAAGGGCATTCTGGACGAAAAAGAAAACTACGCCAAAAATGCCCCAAAATGGCCAACAAATAATCCAGAAATAGTCCCCTGACTATTTTTTGACTGTTTTTGAATACTCCTCCAGAAAAATTCGCAAAAAATGGTCAAACAAAATTTCAAAAATAATCCCCGCACTATTTTTTGATTTTTTTTTCAATATCCCTTCCCCAAAAGGACGCCGGCACCGCCCTCTCCAGGGGGCGCGCTCGGGCCATGTGATCCCGGGGGCAACCCCCGGCGCGGCTTGCAAGAAAACGCAGCGGCACCGGTATAACCCTGCTGGGGAGACGTAGGACTGGGTCGGGCATGCCCTCCTACAGTAAGAAGCCCTAATCCTCCTCCTCCTCCCTCCTCCTCCTCCTCCTCCTCCTCCTCCTCCTCCTCCTCCTCATCCTCCCTCTCTTCCCTGGCCTGCTCGCTGGGATCTGGCCTGCCGCGGCCCCCTCTCCGCCGCGCGCCGAAGGTCGCTCTTGCCTGTGGGCCCCCATCCGACAGCACGCGCCCATGGCCCCTCCCTCCTATAGAGTCGAAAGCCCTGATAAGGACGCGCGGTAAGGACGCAAGACCCTTGGAAGCCGAAGTTGGGATCATCGGGGCGGCGGACGACGCAAGGAAGAGCAGGGACGCAAGAGTACCCTGAGCAAAGTCGCGCGTCCTCATGAGGGTTTTTGACTGTACAGGGGGATTTGGAAAGGAAAAGTAGAACGGTCAAAAAGTAAGCAAATACAGTCAAGTGAGCACGACAAATCGTCGCCAGACTATCTGTTTCTATCCTGGTACAGTCCGGCGCGGGCGCTGCTGAGGGACGCGCTCCCCCCGGAGGGCACGGGGAGGGGGGAGGGGGGAAGAGGGAGGATGGTGGTGATCCTGACGCTACGAGCTTTCGCTCCGCTGCTTGCCCGATAACAAGGATGGTGGTGATGATGAGGAAGGAATGAAGATCGGCGAGACGTCAGACTCGGGTTTGGGGACTTAGATTGGTCGGAAAGGGCCGTCGGGAAAATGGCGAGGCCAAATTAGAAATTTGAGGCGACCTCCCGCCTCAAACATCCAAACTGGACCGACAGAATTCAGGACAGGCCCGTCAAAAAGCGTCTGCAAACTCCAGCCTTACGCTTCCCGGAAACAGTTCCCCATCTGCAGTTCAGGCCCCGACCCTTCTGCCGCCCACACATCCCGATCCAGACGTGGCTCCAGATTTGCTCGCCCTGCAACGGGCGCTGCTGCTCATCGCTCTCCAACGCGTGCTTCGAGAATGGATCACGCTCACAGCGACACGGACGACAAATCCGGTTCAAGGTGGGCAGGGGCTGCTGCTGGCCTTGAGCAGGGACCGACCGTCCCAGCTTTCCTACAGGCCTAAAACGATATGTGCTCAAAGCAGAAGAACTCTCTGAGAACAAAACAATGCCCTTGGAACGAAGACTCGGCGTTTCAAAGAAAGCTGCGTCAACGAGACATGTTCTGAGACCATTTCGTGCAAACTACAAAGACATCTTAGAACATTCTTCTGAGCACCGTTTATCCGACCCCATATCCAAATCGGCGTGGCCTGGGCCCACTGGCCACGTCGTACTCCTCCCTAGATGGGGCTACAGGCCGTGTCCGTCGAGCGGCGAGGGTGCCAAACGCCATGTGTGGTTGAACCGCGACGAGGACAAGTTGATCGAGCACCTCGGGGTCCTGGCCGCCCCCATCATCGTGAACCACACCATCGTTCCGAGAGGAGGCTGGGAGAAGCTCCAGAACGCCATCGGGATTCTGGCTTCGGTGCCAGGGACCAATCAAGTAGGCTACAACTGGGATATGCTTACGTGCGGCCACTCTTGCTCTGGGTAAGGCCTATCGTCGTCCTTCCTCTTCCTCTGGCTCGGCAATTGGCGAGAGCAGTTTGGAAGACGGGCTCGAGCTGGTGGTGCCATGGCAACTGCTGGTCCCCAAACGCGTTACATCACCCTGTCCTTTCGTCAACCATCTTCGGCACCATGAACGCGACGAACTAGAAGCTGTAGTGGTCGAGTTCCCTCGAGACCTCCAAGATTCACCACGTGCGGGCACTGGGCATGCAGTACATCAAGTTCTCTCCCGCAGAAGGCATCCTCATGGAAGCTGGCACAGCAGATGATCACCGTGTACACAAAGCTGTTGGATTGTTGGCAGATGATCGGTTGAGATGTTGGTCCGCATCGATGGCGGCCCAGCATGCTATAAGAGTGAGTGCGAGAGTCCGATGCCTACAGATCGTCCAGCGGGCTCGCCACGACGCCAAGAAAGTAGATGAAGTTGATGCCGACATATGCTCTCGTACGACTTTCGCGAAATGGGTCAATGACCTCGGAGGAAGCGACCTGTCAGTACTTTCAGAAGCGGCGCTGTTTTCCAGAAGCGGTGTTGTGACATCAGAGACGCGCAGGCGCAGGGTGCAGCGTGCAAGCACTGTGGCTCCTTGGCACAATCTTTCCGACACGTTTGGGTCGAATGTTCGCGACACCATCGGCTACGAGAAGCTCTGCGTCTCACGTATGAGTTGCCAGAGGGGTTCTGGACCTCCGTCCCTCGCGTGACCTCCAAGTCTGGCTGGAGAACTTGCGCTCAAGCGGATAAGCGTGCTGACCGTGCCCGTATGCTTCGTGCCTCATTTGAACTGGGGGTGTCGATTATACGCCAGGGCTTGGGAGAGGTAGATCCGACTCCAATGGCTTCGACCAAGAGACTTCGTGTTCACCAAAAGCAAGTTATCAAATTGAGCATCTGCCTCATAAGTCAGGGTGATGTTCTATTCAACTCTATCAGAATGAGGAGGCCGATCGGTCATTCACTGTCCCCGGGCGCGTGGCTGAAATGAGGCCCTGCGGTACGGATTGTTGCTGCTTGTGTGTTGATATGTGTTGTTGTTGCTGTTGGTGTTGTTGTTATTATTGTTGTTGTTCTTGTTGTTGTTATTATTGGTGTTGATGTTCTTGTTGTTGTTGGTGTTGTTATTGTTATTGCTATTGTTGTTGTTGGTGTTATTGTTATTGGTGTTGATGTTGTTGTTGTTGTTGAACATTATTTATTCTAAAGAATAATTATTGTTGGGACCCCTGGTGCGCGGCCCCCTCGCCGCGCCTAGGCCGCAGCCACATTTTCATCATGTTCGTGAGGAAGTCTCAGGCAAAACGTGGGTGTCCGGATCCGGTTGTTTTGTTGTCCCCCGTTTTCCCTTGCAAAAAAATAAGCTAAAGTGGACATTTCTTGTTCTAACATAACCAAACTTCAAGAATCCCTTGCAAAAAAAAAGGTAAAGTGGACATTCGCGCGCGCAAGACGAAATCCTTCCAAAACCTTAGTTTTCGTAGCGATTTTAACATAAAAACATCAAAAAACCAATGGTTTTTCAAAAAAAAAAAATGTCAAAATTTCATCCCGCGCGCTCTTGCGGATTCGTAGGAAACCCAACACTTTTTAAACATTTCTGTCAAACGGGCTTTTGCGAGCAACTTTTTCGAACTTCTGCAACAACGGTTGCGCACCTGCCAGGGCCATCATCCCTGTCAAATAATACCATGCGGGACACATTCGTTTTTTCTTCGCGCGCGCACGCCGTCGTCGTCGGCCGCGGGGCCCTGAATAGTAGCCACGGTCGTCCGCATGCCACGAAGTGAAGTGTCCGAACGTCATAGGGCGGGAAGCTGGGTGTGGGTGGTGGCGAAGAGTCGTTTGGAAATTTGGTAGAGCTTGAACCGGCCCCCCCACAAAGTGGGGGTATTGCCCGCCTCCTATGAAAACCCTGGCACTGGTGAGAACGGAGTGTCCCCACGTGCTAGTAATTGTTGTTGTTGTTGTTGTTGAACATTATTACTTCTAAAAAATAATTAATGTTGGGGCCCCTGGTGCACGGCCCCCTCGCCGCGCCTAGGCCGCAGCCATGTTTTCATCATTTTCGTGAGGAAGTCTCCGGCAAAACGGGTTGGTCCGGATCCGGTTGTTTTGTTACGGGCAGTTTTCCCTTGCAAAAAAAGGCAAAGTGGACATTTCTTGTTCTAACATGACCAAACTTCAAGAATCCCTTGCAAAAAATGAAGTAAAGTGGACATTCGCGCGCGCAAGACGAAATCCTTCCAAAACCTTAGCGTTCGTAGCGATTTTAACATACAAACATAAAAAAAAAAAAACAATGTTTTTTTTTTCAAAAAAAAACTGTCAAAATTTCATCCCGCGCGCTCTTGCGGATTTGTAGGAAACCCAATACTTTTTTAAACATTTCTGTCAAACGGGCTTTTGCGAGCAACTTTTTCACGTGCTTCGAACTTCTCCAACAACGGTTGCGCACCTGCCAGGGCCATCATCCCTGTCAAATAATACCATGCGGGACACATTCGTTTTTTCTTCGCGCGCGCACGCCGAAATCTTCAAAAACCATTGGGTTTCTTAGGAATTTTAGCACCGCGCAACATAAAATCATACGAATCGCACCGTAGGTCCTCGAAAAACATCTGTACGAATTTTCAAAATTTCTACCCGCGCGCGCTGTCCGCACGTCAGGTCCTTCTCAGACCCATGCGCCAGTGTAGTAGCCACGGTCGTCCGCAGGCCACGAAGTGAAGTGTCCGAACGTCATAGGGCGGGAAGCTGGGTGTGGGTGGTGGCGAAGAGTCGTTTGGAAATTTGGTAGAGCTTGAACCGGCCCCCCCACAAAGTGGGGGTATTGCCCGCCTCCTATGAAAACCCTGGCACTGGTGAGAACGGAGTGTCCCCACGTGCTAGTAATTGTTGTTGTTGTTGTTGTTGAACATTATTAATTCTAAAGAATAATTATTGTTGGGCCCCTGGTGCGCGCCCCCCCCGCCGCGCCTAGGCCGCAGCCACGTTTTCATCATTTTCGTGAGGAAGCCTCAGGTAATTCGAGTTGATCAAGATCCGGTTGTTTTGTTGTAATCCGTTTTCCCTTGCAAAAAACACTATAAAATGAAATTTCTTGTTCAAATATAATCAAATTTCAAGAATCCCTTGCAAAAAATAAGGTAAAGTGGACATTCGCGCGCGCAAGACGAAATCCTTCCAAAAGCTTAGTGTTCGGAACGATTTCAACATAAACACATCAAAAAACCAATGGTTTTTCAAAAAAAAAAATGTCAAAATCTCATCCCGCGCGCTCTTGCGGATTCGTAGGAAACCCAACACTTTTTAAACATTTCTGTCAAACGGGCTTTTGCGAGCAACTTTTTCGAACTTCTGCGACAACGGTTGCGCACCTGCCAGGGCCATCATCCCTGTCAAATAATACCATGCGGGACACATTCGTTTTTTCTTCGCGCGCGCACGCCGAAATCTCCAAAAACCATTGGGTTCTGTGGGTGTGTACCCCACGCCAGTGTAGTAGCCACGGTCGTCCGCACGCCACGAAGTGAAGTGTCCCAACGTCATAGGGCGGGAAGCTGGGTTTGGGTGGTCGCGAAGAGTCGTTTGGATATTTGGTAGAGCTTGTAATGCCCCCCCACGAAGTGGGGGTATTGCCTGGTGTCGTATGAAAACCCTGGCACTGGGGAGAACACCACGCGTTCGGGTAAAATGATTGTTGTTGTTGTTGTTGTTGTTGTTGTTGTTGTTGTTGTTGTTGTTGTTTGTTGTCGTCGTCCCTCCGCGACCCACCCGCGACCCACCCGCGACCCGGCCCGCGACCCGGCCCGCGACCAGGCCCGCGACCCGGCCCGCGACCCACCCACACTGCCTCCACGAGAAAGTCGGCGCCTGCGGCGGGCCTCTTCGGAGGCCTGGCAGGCTGCCGACGTCGCCGCCAGCCCCCCTCGCGCTGACCCGCCCGCTCCAATCCTTGTGTACAGAAAGACAACAAGAACGGAATTCTGTTTTGTTCGAACAATGCTTTTGGGCAGAACACTGATTTTTAATCTTTGTGGTCTGACATGCCCCCCGGCCCTGGCTGTTAGCTTTTTGCGCGCGCCCCCCTTTCTGTAGAAGAGGCCCTGGTTAAAGCAACTGCTGCCGGGCGCCGACGTCCGCCCGCTCCCCGGTCGCGGGCGTCGCCGCGGGTCGTGCCGCCTCTCCGCGCTCGGCTGTGAAAGAGGCCCTGGCCAGGGCGAGGCGGGAGACCGGGGGCCTCACGGTGGTGCTGCGGGCGGCTCTGGGCACAGAGCGTGCTGCTCCTTGCGGATGCCACGACAAGGGGCACTCTAACAATACGATCAATGAATTAAACATGTGTTTAACATGTGAGTGCAAACCATGTTTCAAACATGTTTCTAACATATTTACAACATACCCAGCACATCTTTATAAACATCTTGACATCATTTGGCAGCGTGCTTCCTCTCCATTAATCGACTTCCACAGGTTGCTCCATCCTGTCTTTTCCAGCTATCATTTCTGCGGCCAGGAAATGTCACGCATCAGAATCTGGTTTGGTCGGCTTCTGCCGAGGCGTCCATCGCTTACCACGTGCAGGCGATCGGCTTGCAATACGCCCGCTTCTCCCTCACCCACGGCCTGCTCCTGGAAGTGGACCCGAGCGACGACTTCAGAGTACGCGACGCAGGCAACGAACTGGTGAACGGCCGCTGGACGTTCTGGACGGGAACGACAGCGGCCGAGCGTGCTATCATATTGATCTGCCGTATCCGATGCATCCACAGTTGTCAGGTCAAGACACGACGCCAAGGATATTCACGATCTTGACGTGTTCTGGGCGGTTAGCAAAACTCATATGATGTGGGTGCAGCGCCTCCTGGAAGCAGATACGACCCTCGTCGTGATTTATCAATTTGGTGCCGTCACCTCGGGGACGAGGCGGCGGACAGGCTCGAGTTGCAAGCACTGCGGGCATGTGATGCCCTCTTTCAGGTATGTGTGGGCAGAGTGTCCACGACATCAAGCACTGCCTGACGAGGTGACCTTTGCGCACAGCCTCCCACCAGGTTTCTGGTCTTCTGTCCCAAGAGTGACCTCAAATAATGGTTGGGTTACGTACTCTGCAGCTGATCAATGGGCGGATCGAGCCCGCATGATGCTCAACAGACAACCTTGGAGTATACTCCGTCTTGGAATGTCTGAGGTACTGACAGGCACCACGCCGATGACCTCGGCCAAACAGCGTTGTGGAATTCAGTGACTTCGCCATGTTTCAATTGAGCGTCTGACCCACAGGGTGTTGTGTTCACTTTTTTTATAGACGCTGTTATATAATCACTGCCGTCTTCGTCGTGCTCTTGTTCTCCTTCTTGCTCGTTTCCCAGATTCGCCCCCCAACCTGCTCCTGCTGTTGCTTCTATATTGACTCCCTCCCCATCGTCGACGACGGGTCGGTCGGCACGCTATCAAGAGAAACCGGTTGCGCGCGTCCTGGGTCATGTTGACAACACCATTGACCTGCCCCCCCAGCCCACGCTCTGGCGGTATCGCGGGAGAATGGAGGAGGATGCCTGTTCTAAAGGTTTCGATTGTTCCAACACCTCTCTTAGTTCTCATGTCTCTCTGGAAGGGTGGAGGACAACGAGGTGCTTGATGAGCCGAAATCGCAATTCATTGGCCGGCCCGCTGCCTGCCAAGAAAGCAAGCAATGTTTCGGGATGCATGCTCAAAATGTCCAACGTACAGTCGGCCCGTGTCACAAGGATGCGCGATACGGATGCAAACGGCCTTGGACGCCGATTTCTAAGCTTTTCGAGCGGGGCGCGGCCACCGAAAGAGGCCAAGGATGATCCGAGGAGGCAAGGATTCAAGGGTACTCTGCGGGTTGACCGTACTCTGAGATCGTTCCTGGGACGCGTCCCTGGGCCCTCTCGGGCGCCTCTGGGACCTTCTCGGGAGCCGTCGGGGCTGGCCCAGGACCCCCCAAAATACGTCAAGATCAGCGAAGTCTTGGCGGCGCCATTGTCATACATTAACAGACGTTTTGATGTTCACAGCGTCCAACACAGCACAAACAACATCCAATGTCAATCAAAAGCGGCCAAACAGCCACGAACAGGGGCTCAAGGCACCCCAAGCACGGCCCCACGAGAGACCGAATAAGGTGAGCCGAAGAAACTTCTCGAGCTCGCCACCCTCAAATAGCCCGAAGATCCAACGGATGGCCTGGAGATGCACCAAAACAGCCCTAAGTAAACAATGGGATGCAACGAATTATGCAGGAGAGGGGATGACAAATGACAGTAGGGGGGGGGGGGAAGAGGCGGAGGAGGAGGAATACTGATGAAAAGGGGGAGGGGGCAGGAAGAAGGGAGTGGACCAGGAAGGAGAAGGAAGGATGATTGAGGGGGATGGGGTGAGGATAGTAGGAGGAGCAAGCAAGAGGGAGGAAGAAGGTAACATGTCGTCCATGAAGGTCGCACGAGATTGATCCATCCTCGTCCCGAATCCTTTCTCCTCCTCGTCCAGCTCTTCGTTATCCTCCTCCCCACATTTCATCCCCTCCACTACTTGTCCCTCCTCATTCCCCCTCCGGCCCTCTGGTCAGGAATCCGCTCAAAGTCGGCATCCCAGCCCCTCCCAGGGCCACCCCTTGCCAAGCTGTCCCCTCCAGGGTCGATATCTGACAGCTCCAGGGGCCCGAAGCTCAGATGCTCGTCTTAGGAATCTTCCATGGGGCCACTCGTTCCACTCATGCGTCGATGCTGAGTCGAACGTCCGTCGAGCTTGAGTGGAGGAGGTGCCGAATTGGAGTCGAAGCGAACAGCTCCGTCTGGTAGCCCTCGCAGGAAGGTCATCCCAGACGAGCTCCTGACGAAGCCGGGCCCCCAGCGCCGGGGGACCTTTTCAGAGCAGGTGCTTGCTGCCATAGCCTTTCAACGACCCTGGCACCCAGGGCTTGTCCACGGTTCCCCTGCCCCGGCCCCGTCCCTGTGGATCCTAGCTGCCCCGATACGCAACACGCAACACTAGGCGTGTTGACACGGAGTCCGACGCGTGGACTGAAAACGTAGGTCGGGCGCGATACGCTCGCCAAAATGTGGGCCACTACGTTGAACCAGCACGCAACGCGTCCACACGGACGTCTTGAACACGCCACGCGTTGCGTTTCAATACGTGTACCAAGGCAGCTGAGCTGTGGAGCGCGTCCATGCTCGGCGATGGACTTCGCAGCTCTGCTCGCCATCGGCTCGGCGCCGTCGGATGCAGCCCTCTCGACGGATCGCAACGCCCGCGCTCATGCCACTGGGGAAACCATATGGTACCGATCGGGCGTTGGCAGAACTGGGTCTAGTGGAACCTGGTTTAGTGATTTGAGAGAGCGTGATCCACCGCCGCTTTACTGTGGAAAATTGCCAACCTTTTCTCCCGGAACCGGGGGTTCCCCCCCCCCCCCCTCCGAAAATCCCCCCCCCCTGCCGGAACCCCTCCCCCCCCCCCTCCCCCCCTCCCGGCAAAACCCCCGTCCTCCCCTAACCCCTCCCCCCCCCCTCCCCCCCCCCCCCTCTCCCCCTCGAAAACCGGGGGGGGTCACTACCGGTTCGAACCCCTCCCCCCCCCCCCTCCGGATCCGGAAAACCGGGGGGGGTCACTACCGGTTGGAAACCCCCCCCCCCTCGAAAACCGGAGGGGGATCACTACCGGTTCGACCCCCCTCCCACGCACCGCCAGCAAACGACTCCCGGTCCCTACCACCGCTCGCATCACATCCCCCACTGTTGTTCCCAGCACCACTGTCCTCACCACCACTGTCCCCACTGGTTCCACCACCGTCCCTATTGTCCCCACCAATGCCCCCACCACTGTCGCACTGTCCCCACTGTTCCCACAACTGTTCCCACCACGGTTCCACTCTCCCCACTGTCTCCACGGACCCAACCACTGCCTATCCCCATTGTCCCCACTGTCCCACTGACTCCTCCGCTGTCCCACTGAGCTGTCCCACTGTTTCCACCACTGTCCCCACTGTCCCCACCACTGTCCCCACTGTACCTCTGTCCCATTGTCCCACCGCCGTCCTCGCCACCGCCTTTACCAGTGTCTCCACCACCATTGTACCCTCCACTGTCCCAGTGTTTCCACCTCATTCCCACTGTCCCCACACCACTGTCCCCACCACCACCGTTCCCACCACTGTCCACTGTCCCCCCTGTTCCCACCATTGTCCCCACCACTGTCCCCACCACTACCGTCCCCACCACTGTCCCACTGTCCCCCCGCTGTCCCCACCACTGTCCCGCTGTCCCCTCACCACTGTCCCCACCAACACCGTCCCCACCACTGTCCGCACCCCCACTCGGTTTTCGAGGGGGGGGGGGGTTCGAACCGGTAGTGACCCCCCCCCCTTTTCATGATGAGCTGGGGGGGGGGGGAGGGGTTCGAACCGGTAGTGACCCCCCCCGGTTTTCCGGAGGGGGGGGGGGGGGAGGGGTTCGAACCGATAGTGACCCCCCCCCGGTTTTCCGCCAGCAGCGGTAGAACACGCTCTTTCAGTGATTTGCACCGAGGGCGCCCCCCCGTCCCACTTCCACTGACCGGCACTGCCGTCACCCGAAAAACACCAGTTACAGCAAACCTGGTTTAGTGAATCTGGCCAATTTCGGGTCGGGCGAAAGGGGGGGATAGCAAAGGGGGGGTTTGAGAATCAGCTCACGTAGCTGACTCTCCCGGCGCCTCCCGGCGCCGGAGGCGGCTATAGGTATCGAGGAAGGGGCCCCTCGGTGGGGCCGAAACCAGCTGCAGGCAGCAGATTTCGTATACCCCCCCCTTCCCAATCCCCCCTTTCGCCTGGCCCGACAATTGAGGGGCCCCAGGACCCCACCACGAACCGGGCCCCCCTGAACCCGGGGTCCTGGCTATATGCCCGAGCCGATGCCGCCACCGCCCCCCGGACCCCTCCCGAAGGCGCGCTCTGACCAGCGTCCCGAGGCGAGCCCCTCCGTGGCCCACAAGGGCCTCCCAGGAGGCCCACAAGAGGGGGGGGAACCCCCCCCCCCCCCCAAAAAAAAACCACAGAAAGGGGAACCAAAACCCAAAACCTAAAACCCCAAAAAAACCCACAATGGGTTTGGGGTCTCTCCCCCAAACCCAGACACCCAAAACCCCAAACCCACAAAAAGGGAGGACAACGAGGGAAAACGAAGGGAGGCCCACACAAAAGGGGGCTCGCAGACCTGGATCCGTGCTCCATGGATGTGGCGCGCGGTCGCCAAACCCATGGATCGGGGTCAAGATGCCCTCCCCAAGATGCGGCCGGTGCCGCCCCGCTCGGCGGCGGCAATCCGCGATTTCCCGTGGAAGCGGGACCCGCCGCTGATCCACGCCCCCTCTGATCCATGTTTGCGATCGCCTGGTATGGTCACCACCTTCTTTAAGTCGGGCCTGTCCCTCTACAGGAGGGATATGCAAAAATAGTCACAACATAGTCTGGGGACTATTTTTTTGGCTATGTGTGAGCATGTCGTACATATTTAGTGAATATGTTTTAACTTTTCGCGACAAATCCCCCTGCAGGGGGGGCAGGCCCGACTTACCACGTTCTCCTCTGACCACCGCCCCTCCCACTGGTGGAGCGGCCCCGCCGAACGGCCCCCGGACGGCCGACCGCACCCGCCCCCTCGGCACCGTGTCCTGGATGCTGTCCCAGAGGCTCTCCTGCACGACGTCGCCGACGCGGGCGCCGCGGAGGGAGACGCTCCCCCTGGAGGGCACGGGGAGGGGGGGAGGAGAGGGAGGAGGGGAGGAAGGGGGGGAGGGGGGAGAGGGGGGGGGGGAGGGAGGGCGGTGGTGACCCTAACGCTAACTCCCCCTGGAGGGCACGGGGAGGGGGAGGGGGGATTGTCTCGGATGTATCCTTAGCCAGCGGGTCGTGCACTCGCACCTCAGCCCCTAGGGGCGGGGTCTGGCCGATGCGGGTGTCCGCCGCGCAGACTAAAGCTGGGGGATGACGGATAGCCACGATACCGAAGTGCTTAGTGAGGAACACCCGTCGATGTTCCACCTCTTTATCGATTTCGCTGGCCGCCACCCCCTCCTCACCCCATGCCCCAAAGTGATCCTGTCGAATCGGGGTTCCTACGGGGTGGCATCCCATATTGGTGGAGCGAACTTGCCGCAGCAGTGGTCCGCAATTTGACTCCTGGCGTGCACTGCCCAGCGGTTCCCCTCCGGGGAGGAAGCGGATCCCAAGGTGGGCCCGATTGCTTCCCCGCCGCTGAATTCAGGGGCTCTTGCACTTAGTGCAGGGACCCTGGCAAGTCGGGCAGACGCTGGGAGCTTCAGCCCCAGCGTAGGTGTGGCAAAGCGGCAGGGGCCCCAGCCCATGCAGGCAGCCTGCGATGCTTGCGTGCTGAGTGCCACTTCGGGGGGGGGGGACCCCCTTGTGAAGATGGCTGCCTCTCTGCACATACTAGCACCTGTGCCGCGCGATAGCGGCACAAACGGGGCGTCGCTCCATCAGGGTGACTTCCCCCTGCGAGGTTGGATGCCGTGAGCATTCCAGTCGCATGTTGATGCCAGTGGCCCGCGTAACGGTCTGGACGGCCGTAGTTTTTAGCAAGACCGCGAAAGCGACATGAAACCGGCTTTCTGGGTTGCCATCCCCGCTTGGCGATGGCCCCAGGATGCCACAACAAAGTGTGGCAATTACTCTGCTTGGTCAGGGCAGCAGGACGAGTGGCAGCATAAGCATGGTAGAGTTAGCGTCTTGCGAGCATTGTTTAGGAAGTCACGGTAAGCATAGATAAAACGTACAATGAATTTTCGGTGTACCGGCCTATCTTCAGTATCATCCTGCTCCTCCTCCCTCATATAGCGCATTGCACGACATCGCACAACACAATAGTCGGGAGGAGGGGCAAGGCCCCCACGGTGCAAACGGGCCGGCATACGCAAATGATAGCCCAGCCGATAACGCTGCCAGCCGATCCGCTGCTTGCAGGGGGGTGACGACGACGGCGGCGGCGGCGGCGAACGGAGGCGGCGGCGCCCTCCCGGGGCGGGCCGCCCCCCCCCCCCCCGGGGGCGGTATTTATTTAAAAATAAATACCTCGTTCCTGGGCGGCCGCGGAGGAGCGGAGGGGGAGGGCAGGGGATACGAGGGGAGCCATTGAGGAGGGGGGGGGCCACATGGGGGGAAGCGGGGAGGGGGAGGACGGAAAAAGGGTGAGGACGGGTCCCGCCCCGTCCGGCCGCGCGCCGGGGGCTGGCGCCGGTCTGAAGGGCCTCTGAAGGGGAACGTACGTCGGGCTGGGCGCCCCCGGCCGCGCCGTCTCGCGGACGGGGTCTCAGGGGGGCGCGCTGCCTGCTCCGCACAATCAAAGGGCGGGAGGAGGAGGCCGGCAGGAAGAGGAGGAGCGGGTGGGGGAGGGAGGGGGGGGAGGGCCCCCCCCGCGGCGCAACGGCGGCGGCGGCGGCTGGCTGGGGCGGGCGGCGCCCCCCCCCGGGGGGGGCGGTATTGATTAAAAAATAAATACCTCACCCCTGGGCGGCCGCAGAGGAGCGGGGGGGGGAGGGCAGGGGGGAGGGGGGGGAAGCCGCGGAGGGGAGCGGGCGCAGGGCCGAGACGTACTGCGGGGTGGGTTGCGCCCCCAATGGCCCGCAGCTGTTCCCCCTTTCCAACCCCCTTACTCCCATTCGGGGAGGTGTTTACCCCCCCCCTACCATAAGCGGCGGTGCGATATACCTGGATTCCCCCTACAATGCCCGATCGTGCTTCACATACTCGCGCACTGACTCGAGAGCTGCAACAGCGGCAGGCGTGTAGCGATGTGCATGACGATGGCTGCGCGCGCGGCAGCTGGCAGGCTGATCCAGTCGAATCAGCGGGTCGGGGGCTACTGTGAACTTGCTACGCAGTGGTCCTTAGTCCCCGACCCTTTAGGCAATGTGCGTGAGGTGGCAGCATACTGAATGGGAAGCTGATCCGGGCGAATCAGCGGGCCAGGGGCTACCGCGAACTTGCTGTGCAGTGGTCCGTAGTCCCCGACCCGTTGGCTAAGCAGCGGCAAGCAGTGAGCATGGTACACAGACTGGCCACCTGCGTGGTGGTTGCTACAGTGAGCTGCTCAACTACGTGTGACCTGGTCGCTCCTGTCGAAACGACTGTTTTTACACCCTCAACAGCGAACCCTCTATAGGGATATATCTACAGAAAGTCGTCTATAGGGACCAGCTCTTCCAGTACCTGCGCGTTCTGGGGCACAGGAGAGGTGGCAGTACTGGGGCGGCTGGCGGGCGCCTCGAAACTTGAGCCCGAACGAGCAGCGGCGCTCTCCCACTCGCTAGACCATTCATGTGCAGGCACTAATCCTGAACCTCGTCCACCGCGCCAAGGGACATGACTGCGCGAAGCACCCTGAATCAAACTTTCGCTGCAGCTTCAGCCAGCGATCAAGAGAACGAGCGAGCGGGCCAGCTGGCGGCGAGAGCCGCGCTGGTGCGATCGCGAGGGCGCAGATACAAGACCTCGATCCCTACCCATTCGCCAGAAGTGCCCTGGCCTTGGCCACGACAAGACGCGCGAGAGTCTGACAGAGCTCCACGGGATAAGGGCGCGCTCTCGCGGTCCAAACACCGTTTGGGTGTTTTCCCTTTGAAGCAATGTGTCGCGTACCAGTCGCACTGCATCTAGCTTGGCTGCTTTCGCATCGTCTGTGCTGCGAATGCACTGGCGGCCACTTGAAAAGGAGAAATGTCGTCGCCTTACGCCGCGGCACCTGATGCTGACAGAAATCCACATGCGCTCACTCTTCTTTGGCATGGCTCGCTATCGAGCGGAGTCCGGCATCGCAGCGGCTCGCGCTGGGCAGTCCCCAGATATCCCCATCACTTCTCAGCGGCGGCGGGCCTCGACCATCCAGCTTTCTGGCTCTCGACCGCGTCTTACAGTCCAGGCCGACATGGGCACCCATGATGGCCCCGCTCTGGACGCGGCTCAGAAGCGTGTCGATGACGTCTGGGATCCGAAGGTCCGCGCCGCAGCCGTCCCGCTGCAAACATCCCACGAAAACTGGACCGTCAGAATCCAGGACGGGCCTGTCAAAAAGCACAGTCGGATCCGAGCTCCGGCGCACCCGAGTCTTACGCTTCCCCGAAAGTAGGAGCGGATGAGTGGGAAGGGGGATGATCGGGGGAGATGGGGAAGATGTGGATGGGAGAGGATGTGGAGGGGGAGGAGGAGGTGGAGGATGAGGACGAAGAGGAGGAGGAGGAGGAGGAGGAGGAGGAGGAGGAGGGAGGAGGAGGAGGAGGAGGAGGGAGGAGGAGGAGGAGGAGGAGGAGGAGGAGGAAGAGGAGGAAGGGGGCCCTCATCTGGGGCCGCAGATCTGGCCCGACATCGGCGCGCCCCCCCCAAAAAAACGCCCGCCACAGCCCCACGTGGCGATACGTTGGCAGTGCTTCGATCAGCGCCCGCGTGCGCGCCATGCGGCCCAGGCTGCAGCGCCGCAGGCCCGAATCCAGCACCGGCCCGAGAGCGGAGCACCGCTCCGGCCCCAGCGCCGCGAGGAGCCCTCCCAAGACGCTGCGCCTCGTCGTTGGGCACCGCGCGCGGTTTGGGCTCGTCGGCGTCGGGGGCATCACGGGCCTACCTCCCTGGCACCCGCGGTGAGAATCGCAGGCTCGTGCCCCGCGGGGCGAATCTCAAGGCCCGCAGTGGGGGGGTGGTTCATCGGGGGGGGGGGGGACATGGGGTCCCTGTACAGTCAACCCGTAATTACCAGAAGGACGCACGGTAAGGATGCGGGGGCCTTGGAAGGCCATGTCGACACTTTGCGAGCGGGGCGCGGCCAGACAGAGCGGCCAGGGGTGGCCCGAGGAGGTAAAGGATGCCGGGGCAGCCTCGGGGAGGTTGCCCAGCCCTACCGTGCGGGTGGACTGCAGCACGAGCCCCCCAACGATGAGGAGACGGCCCGGGACCCGGCGGCAGGCGCCGGCCCGCGACAGGAAGCTGCAGCCGCCGCGCAGCCCCCGCCGAGAGCCGACGGCAAGGGGGCACGTCGCGAAGCGACCGGGCGAGGTGCGGGCTCTCCATCTGAGCAGGGACCGACCGTCCCGGCATTCTGATAACTAACGGGCGAAACACGGTATAACATAAACTTTTCCAGCCGCCCAGGGGCAAGTGTCCCCGACGGCGAAAAAGTTTCGTTTATACCGTTCTTCGCTCGCTGGTATAATTATACCACGAAGCGTTCTTAGAACCCAACAATGTTCTAAGAACAAAAAACAAGGTTCCTAGAACACAAGCCCGATGTGTTAGAACAAGACAGGCTCCGCCAGACATGTTCTAAGGACATTTCGTGGGAACCACAAAAGGCTCTTAGAGCATTTTTGGTAGGGCTATAGGCGAGCCAGGACGCTTCGCCACTGCTTGATCCATCGACCTCCGAGATCGCGTCTCCAAGAGACGGGCTCGGATGAGCCGCCAGGGGGCCGCGCGGGGCCTCCGGGGAGGCATTGCGCTGATGCTGCTCTTCTTCCTCTGCTTCGATCCTTCCCTCGCTGCTCACGGGCCGACGGCCGACAACCGTCCAGCTCCTCCTGCGCACGCCCGACTCCTCCTGTTGGGAGGCCGGCGAAAACGGCCCCGCTCCTCGGTGCGACCGCCCGGGCTGCATGCGTGGCGCCGGCGTGCACGACGGCTGCTGCTGCCACGATGCCGACGAACAAGATCACCTCAGAGCGAATGCAGGATGGAGGAAGGGCCACCCAGACCGCCAAAATTTGGGAAGAACCCCTGCGACCACAGGACGTCCAGTGATTTTTGGTGTGGGAGCGTCACGCTTTCCATCGCAAAACCATCGAAACCCAGGAAACCCATGGCACCCTGAAGGCAAGCAACAAGCAAGGTGTTTCATGGCATGTTTCTCCACTGTGCTAATGTTGTTCGCCGTGCTCGGCCTCTGGGGGCCCTGGCCAGGCCCCGGGACAATCAACGAAAACAGGTGGGGTGAGAAACTGGCCGTGGGGAAAGGGTTGGAACTTCTGGGGACCCCGTACTCCGAAAATCGGAGCATTGCATGTGTGGGTATGGAGGACGGCCACGGTATCAAGGCATCAGGCTGGAGTTGGCAAGGGAAACGGGGAGGGGGGGGGTGCGAAGGGGAGGGTGAGGCGGGGACGGGGTGGGAGGAAAGATGAGCGATTGATGCTTTGAGGAGAACCAAGGGAAACCGTCACGCAAGAGTCCCATCGTGAAGCATGCCTGCTGAGCTAGCTGCCACTGCCTCACAGATGTGACCACCTTGGCCACGGCTTGCCCCACCCAACTGCAAAACAACAACACTGCCGTTGCTGGTCGAGGGCAGCACGAAACGCCGGGCGCTTGCGCTGCGGGAAGAGGGAGGAGGGAGGGGGCAGCACACAGACAGACCTGGACGGAGAGGGAGAGGGAGAGGGAGGGAGAGGGAGAGGGAGGGAGAGGGAGGGAGAGGGAGGGAGGAGAGGGAGGGAGGGAGAGGGGAGAGGGAGGGAGGAGAGGGAGGGAAGAGGGAGGGAAGCGACCCTGGCAGCATCCGACGCCGACGTCCTGCGGTCACCGATAATTACAGCGCTGCTGCGTGTCTTCGGGTGCCGAGCAGCCTGAAGAATGCGGGGCCCGAAGGCTCGACTGCTCCCGGGGGCCCTGGGCACCCGCTGCACAGGTGCTGAAAGACGTGGAGCGTCCCCTATACAGTCGGGCTGCTGAAAGAAGGCACGCTAAACAAGGAACGAAGCCCCTTCTTGGCCCTGTCAGCGCCTCCGCGCCCCAGGGGGGCAAGAGGAGCAGCACTGGAGGAACCTCAGGAACATCGAGCCCCTCCCGAACCCAAACTGTTCCTTGTTTGACGAACGAACAAGACGCACCCATACCCATAGTGAGGACGGAGGGGGGCTATGGGTGCGTGTTGTCGGATAGGGGGTCCCCGCTCGAACGGGAGCCTTCCCCGCGGTCCGACAACCTGCACCCACACCCATAGCAAGTCCTCCTCCCGCCGACCCCCCTATGGGTATGGGCGTGTGTTGTCTGTTCGTCATTGTTTCAGCGTCCTAACTGCAAATCACCGCAGAACTTCCCCTGAAGCCCTGGAACCGTGGCTGCGAGATCAAGCCTTCCACCGTGCCCCAAGCTCCGAACTTGGGGCGCCGCTGGGGGTCGACTGTCGACTTTGGGTCGCTCTCGGGGCCCTGGGAGTCGTCGTCGACGCGTGGTCTTGAAGGAACTAAGCAATACCACCGTGACCCTGTCTTTAGAGCCTCCAGCCCAAGAGGCCGAACATCATCCCAAGACGGATCCCCCAGGCACCCCAGGAGATCCGGGGATGCGGCCGAGAGTCTAGGGCCCGCGAGAGAGCACGTCGGAGGAGAGGGAAGGAGGGGGGGGGGGGCGTGGGGAAGAGGGGCCTGGGGGACGGACTCGGCGGACCCTGACCCCTGAGCCCAGATCTGCATGGCGGCCCGATGGATCGCGCTCGGACGCTTTCACCACCTTCGGCGCCCTGGAGGCCCCAGGGGCATCTAAGACGGCCCCGAATGGCCCCGAAAGGGAATCTCGAGTCGGCCTATGGAGCCCTCTCCGCAAAATGGCCCCATGACCCAAATTTTGTCTCGCCGCGGCGTCAGCGACCGCACGGCGAGGGAGGGCCGTGGTCGGGAAGTTGGGTGGTGCAGTAGCACCACAAAGGTAGTGAAACCTAGCGGCACAGGCCTCGGACAAAAAAGGCGAACACTCATGCCACAGTCATCTGTCAATGCCCCCCAAATGATCCATGTTGGCGGCGGTGGGTTGGATGAGTTGCACTTCGACCGCAGTCTTCCCCGCGCGTGCCAAAAACTTTGAGTTTTGGGGGGGCGGGGGGGGTCCACTAATTGTTGCCCTCTACAGTGCCGATGCCGCCACTCTCCAGACCTCTCCCAGGGCTCGGTCTGCTCAGGACTTCCCAGCGAATCCAGTGGTGGCGACGAGGGCCGCCCAAGAGGCCGCAAAAGGGGAAGACGTGTCAAGGGTAGCTGTACCCGCCGGTCGGAGGAAGTGGGTGAAAACATGAAGCAGGAAGGCGTTGAAAGTAGATTGGGCATCCGCCCGCCCCCTGAAAAAGAGATAGGGGAACACCACTCGACTCTTAAAGTAGGAAGGCGCCTGAAGTGGATTGGGACCTGGGATCCGAGAGTACCTACCTTCAACGACGGGAGTGCAGCGGAAGGGGCCGCGGCCCAGGCCCACCACCCTACAGGCCGAGCGACATGCCTCGTGTCGGTCTGCCCGCACGTCGGGCCTGCTGTGGCGAGCGGGCCCGGAACCTTGCGACAACACCGCCGCCTTTGCGAAAGAAGCCCCCGCCAGCAAAAGTACCACCAAAACCCCCCCCCCCCCCCCCCCGACGTTCCACATGGCAAGGTGGGCGGAAGTCCGCGCCGGAAGGAGGTGCGAGGAGGCGCGAGATAAACGCCCACTCTTGCGGCGGGCCCCTCGCTCCTGCATCGTCCTCGAGATGTGGGGGGCAGGGCAGGCGTGTGTCGATGTCTCGTGCCCAGACCCGCTGGTGCCAAAAAGGGGTCCCGAAGGGCCCCTTTAGGCCCCTTGTCTTCACCCTCCATGTGGGTCACACCCCCGTTGCCGCCCGCCAGAAGCCACTCCAGGGCCTGGTCCCCCCGGCAATGTGACCGAACTCTCGTCCTCGTCCTCCTCTTCCTCGTCCTCGTCTTCGTCCTCGTCCTCGTCCTCCTCCTCCTCCTCCTTCTCCTCCTCCTCCTCCTCCTCCTCCTCCTCTGGTTCCTTGTCCATGCTCCCCCTCTTGAGGTATGATAGTTTCCCAGCCGTTCTTCCACTGCGTGCTCCCCCACATGCCTGATCAAGGCCACTCGCCCGGGCGTCGTTTCTGGATGGGCTGGTGGTTACACGAAGCGTCTAGAATCAACCAGATCAGAGTCAGATCTGGCCTCGCTGTCGCCCAGGAGCTAAGGCCGCGGCGCCAGCCTTGAGGAACCGCCCGGCTCGGAAAGACTGTTGCTCCTGCGGCCAACACGTGGAATCAAGCTGTCCTTCTACTCCGACACTCTCTCGCTCAACATCCTCCCATGCCTGGCGCCCTCAAGTGCTTCCCCTGTCTGCTGCTGCTCATCAAGCGTGTCTCAGTCAATCCTCCTCCTTGCTCCGTTCTTTGTTGCCTTGCCTGCGCCCTCCTTCCTCCCTCCCTCATCCTTCCACTTCATCAACCTTGCATGCATGTGCTCATCAATCTTCAGTCTGAGGCAGCGGCCTCACGAAACAATAGAAACCAGGGAATGCGCTTGCAGCCGAACGAGGGTAATACGTGCAACGATCACACACAGACATAGGAACGCATATCGATTGGCAACATGAGCTGCTCAACACACAGTTGTCATCCAGATGCGCATGTGATCTCAAAACATCGACCTTATCAGAGTGAGGGGGCCGAACGGTCTTACATGATCCCTGCGCGCTCGTGGCCAGAGTAGGGACGGCGATGCTGGGAGGGCACGCTTGGAGGGCACGCTGGCAGGGCACGCCGGGAGGGCAGGAAGAGCTGGAACGGGCAGGGTGGCAGGGCACGCTGGGAGGGCACAGTTGGAGGGCGCGGGGGGAGGGCACGCTGGAAGGGTGCACTGGGGAGGCGGACTGCCTGAAGAAACGCCTGGTCGTAGCTCCGCTGCTCCTCCCCTTCCTCTCCCTCTTGGCCCCCTCACTCTCAAAGGCGGGGTGCGATACAAACCATGAAGACCTGAGAAAACCCAGGGTGCCCCGGCGTTGACATCGCCCAACATCGGTCGGCAACGCAGCCGGTTCTTGACACTCGGAACCCTTCCCACAGACGGCGGGAAGGTCAACCCTCCCGGCCCCTCGAGGGCAAAGCCGATCCCAGGCCTCCCCACGCCAGCGGCACAAGCAAAACGGAGGACGGGGAGCCGAACCGCGTAGACACGCGCGCGCGCGAGCTTCCCGCCTCAGGTCGCGCGCAGGCGCCGTCTGTGAAGAGGAACGTTGCGACTTGGAATCGACGATGCATCGCCGATCGATCGGCGACAGGCCCCCGACAGCGAAACCGAGAGCTCCTGGGCGGGGTGGGCTAGCGGACCCCGTTTCGGCGATCACTGGGCGGCTGGGGCTGGATGCGCACCCCCTGAGACTCTTCCCCCGCATGGCTTTCGGGGCGTGCATCAGGTCTCCAGCGACCCTTCGGCACGCTCCGGGCACCCTGGGAGCGCTCGCGGCCCGGCGCCGCAGGCTGGAACGCGCCCCGAGGCTGGACGCCCGCGGAGACGCGAGGCTCCCCCGCGGAACGCATCTGCCTCTGCCGCTGCCCCCGCTCTGGCCCAACGCAGTGCGCCGCGCCCTGCGGCCTGCGCGAGACACCCCGGCAGGCCACTGGCGCCGTGAGGCCCCGCCCTCCCCGGCCCGCCGCCCCACGAGGGCCCACGGCTGGCACGGGGCTCGAAGAGCAGCCCGGGCTTCGGGAGTCGGGCGCGCTTGCGAATGGGGGGGTGGCCCAAATGGGGGGTCAAGAGAAGGGCCCTTAAAAGGAGCCTTGCAGGGCCCCTCTCGAAGCCAGCCGGTGCCCCAAGAGGTGCCCCAAGAGGCCCCTTCGGGGACTTGTTCTTCACCCCCCATGCGGGTCACCCCCCATTAGCATCAGGTCGGGCAGGTCCTCCTGCAGGCGGATGTTGGAGGAAAAGCAAAACATCAACAAACATTAAACAATAACAACAAAAAGTATCGAAACATCGCCCCCAAACTGTTTTTTACTATTCTTGCATATTCCTCCTGTAGGTGGACACGCCCGGCTTCACATTGGCACCTGCTCGAGGGAAGTGTGCACTGACGCTCCTCGCGTCTGTCGAGACCTCCCAAGATGGGGTCCCGCAGATGGGTCGGAGGAGGCCACAAAAAGAAACCACAGATCGGCCATGATGCGAGACCCCCGACGTCGCGACCATTGTCACGGTGTGCACCCCCCTCGAGGTCTCGACCCGCTCCCGGGGACCAGCTTTTGTATCCCGAGTCGTTCTTTGGCGGCCCCGTGGCCCAGTCAGGCCCGCCCCAGAGATTGCAACAACGAAACAAAACCTTCCGCAGCGTTCTTCCGAATAGCTTTCGCTCGAGGGTTCTGCAGGAACGGGAGCAACACATGACAGAGTAGAAAGACCCACAGTGGGGACTGGAGGCCCTGGACCGCCCGGTCCAGCAGCCACTTCGCCGGAGCTCTTTCCTCTCCATTCATTTAGGAGCAGTGCTCTATGAAAAGCAACTGACCACATACTCGGAGCGGACGGCAACGATCCCTGGTGAAACATACACTGCAGTGCACATGACCGTGCGCTCCTGAAGAATCCATACGAGCAATCCTAAGACAGCACGTTTTAAACAGCCGTCCTCCCACTTCTCGACCCGCCTCTTCACCTTGCCTGCTAGTCCAGTGTTGTACTGGGGCATTTTCACGACGCTACAGACCTCAAAGATGGGGTCCGAGAAGATGGAGGTCGGAGGATTGCACCGCATCGCCGATGTATCGGCGCTGCATGGGCGACGCATCGGCGACGTCGGCGCGGAGAAAATTGCGCTCCGCGTCGAGCCGCATCGCCGATGCCTCGGCGATGCGGCGCGATCCTCGGACCCCATCTGGGAGGCCTGGAGGCGCGGGGAGGTGTGGCCTGCAGGCCACGAGGCAGACCCGGGCGCGTGGCAGGAAGACGCCGGGGCGCCTCGCCGGGCCCCTTCGGCAGCAGTTCCTCGTCCGACCTCGCCTCGGTGTCGCTGTCGGACCACATGGAGGCGCGCCGCGGACCGCCTTCGGCAAGCCAAGCTCACGGGTGAGAGGCCAGGCGCCCCCGCCTGGGAGCCAGAGCTGCGCGGCGAATGAACCGAGACAGGCTCGCGTCGTGGGGGGAAAAAAAACGACGGCACATTCTGGCTGTTCTCGGCCCCCTGGGGGCCCTCGCAGAGCCCCGGGACCGTCAGACACAGCTCAGGGTGAAAAACTGGCCATGGGAAAAAGGTCGGACATTTCGTGACAGGATGAAAAGCCAGACCTGGAACAAAAATCAAGACATCGCTTGTCTGGGGAATCGAACAACTCATGTACGGAAGTCATGCCGTCTGGCGCCTGATCGCCCTGCACCCTACAACCTCGAAGGTTGGGCCGGGAGGGGCCAGGGTCCAGCCTGCGCGAGAGAATACTGAGGGAGACGAGGACGCGGGGACGACAGCAGAGCGAAAGTGCCAGAGGCGACCCTGCCAAGGGTGACCATAGGTTTACTAGGGAAGCCTCCACCCCAGGCGGTTCTCCTCCCTGCACCAGGCGATCTCCTCCCCACTCCCAACCCCCAGGCGGTTTTCCTCCCAAGGCGATCTTTTCCCGGAGCAGTTCTCACGATGCCAAGAGGGCCCTCTGGGGTCCAGAATGGGGCGGGGAGCTGGAGGCACCTTGACCCAGGATCGCTTCTGGCAGCTCCCGCCGCGAGGAGGGCGCCGGAGCGGAGGAGAGGGATGAGAAGGACGTGCACCTCCGACGTCCAAGCCACTCGCTCCATGCATGCGTCGACGCTGCGTCGAGCGTCCGTCTACTTGAGTCGAACTTGAGTCGAGCTGGAGTCGATCTACATGTGGATGTTTTGGCCGCCAGGGGGGACCCACTTTCTGGGGGGGCGGAGGGGGGGCTGGGACCAACAACACAAAGCAATCCGCGGCCAAAATCCCTCCGACTGTCGGGTCCCGGAGCCCTGGAACACCGCGCGCTGCTGAACAAAAACTGCACGGCGACGAAGGAAGATAGGAGGGGAGGATGAGGAGGACGTTCTGGCGGAGATGGAGGTGGGCGGCTCCAGAAAACCCGAACACGCTGGGGCGCGGACATACCCAGAGAAGTACAACAGTGCTTTCGCCAGCTTTGCCCACTGGACCAGCCTCGCCATACAGGTTCGGCCAGCTCGACCCATGCCCTCCTACAGGTGATGAAAGATCAGATGCCCTTTCCAGAACAATTCGTGTGGCTCCGGGGCCCTCGGCCTCAAATTCCCTGGTGGCTTTCGCGGCTCCGTGGATACCTCAGAAACCATTGAGCTGTTGGCGGTCCGGAGGCCCGCACCAAGAATGCAGTGGATGGCCCGAGCGCTGACGGCACTCCGAAGGCTCCAAACCCGCACGGCATGCGCAAGGCCACGGGGCTACGCATCGACATCTCGAAGGCTCGCGCCCAGCAGGCCCTGGGAAGCTCCACGGCTATAGGAAGCACGCCGTTGCCGTCCCCCACCTCTGAGATTCACGTTCTTCCCCGCTCCCTCATTTCACTCAATCCCCTCCTCCTTCTCGCCCCCCTTTGTCGTTTTTGTCTTCCCTCCTCTCCAGTCCTCCCCTACCCCTCCTTCGCCCCCTCCTCGTCCTGGTTCTTTTCCTCCTCTTCCCCCTCCTCCTCCTCCTCCTCCTCCTCCTGCTCCTCCTCCTCCTCCTCCTCCTCCTCCTCCTCCTCCTCCTCATCCTCTTCCTCCTCCTCCTCCTCCTCCTCCTCCTCCTCCTCCTCCTCCTCCCTCTCCTCGGCCGCCTAGTCGCCGTCGCCCTCCTCCCTCCTCCTCCTCCTCCTCCTCCTCCTCCTCCCTCCTCCTCTCCCCCGCCTCCCCTCCTCCCCCTCCTCCTCCTCCCCCTTCTCCCCCTCCTCCTCCTCCTCCTCCTCCTCTTCTCCTCCTGCTCCTGCTCCTGCCTGCTCCTCCTCCTCCTCCTCCTCCTCTCCCTCCTCCTCCTCCTCCTCCTCCTCCTCATGCTCCTCCTCCTCCTCTCCTCCTTTCCCCTCCCTGCTCCTCTCCTGCTCCTCCTGCTCCTCCTGCTCCTCCTCCTCCTCCTCCGCCCTCCTCCTCCTCCTCCTCCTCCTCCTCCTCCTCCTCCTCCTCCTCCTCCTCCTCGGGTCCCCCCGCGCGGCGCGCGGGGAGGTGCTCGCGTCCAGCCCGCGGCACTCACGGGGCGCGCACAGCCACGACAAGGTTCAGGTTGTTGTCGGCGTAGACCCACCCCTGCCGCCGCCCCCGCCCCCCACCCCCCAGCCGCCATCGCTCTTTAAGACCACGGCGGTGGGAGGCGGCTGGGAGGGGGCCAGATGGGGGGGGACGAGGGAGGCGGTAGGGAGGCTTGGTGGAGGGGAGCATCCTGCCCCTCCTCCTCCTGCTCATCCTCATCCCCCACACATCCCCCTCGCACGATCTGTTGACGTGGTTTTTGCTACCCTTGCTGCCCTCTTTGCCATCCACTTCTCACTTCCTATGGCGGTTCTTCCGCTTCCCCCACTATGACTCCTCCTCCTCCTCCTTCTCCTCCTCCTCCTCATCCTCATCCACATCCTCCTCCTCCTCCTCCTCCTCCTCCTCCTCCTCATCCTCCTCATCATCCTCATCCTCATCCTCATCCTCATCCTCAACCTCATCCTCATCCTCATCATCAACATCATCATCAACTCATCATCAGCATCATCATCATCATCATCATCAGCATCACGCATCCTCATAATCATTCACCAATGCTCCTCGCTCATCATCATCATCATCTCATCAGCATCATCAGCTCAGCATCAGCCTCCACCTCATCCTCATCATCATCAGCATCATCACAACCATCCTTCATCAGCACCATCATCATCGTCATCATCACATCATCCTCCTCATCATCCTCATCATCATAGTCGTCATCACACATCATCATCATCGTCATCATCATCATCACATCATCATCACATCATCAGAAGCATCACTCATCAATCAACATCATCATCGCATCAGCATCAAGCATCAGCATCAGCATCGATCAGCCTCACATCAGCATCCGCATCATCATCATCATCATCATCAACTCATCATCATCATCGTCATCATCATCATCATCATCATCATCATCATCCTTCCCTCCCTCCCCTCCTTTCCGTCCCGTCCCTCCCTTCCCTCCCTTCCCTCCCTTCCCTCCCTCCCCTCCTTCCCCTCCCTTCCCTCCCTCCCCTCCTTCCCCTCCCTTCCCTCCTTTCCCTCTCTTCCCTCCCTTCCCTCTCTTCCCTCCCTTCCCTCCCTTCCCTCCCTTCCCTCCCTTCCCTCCCTTCCCTCCCCTTCCCCCCGTCCCTCCCCTTCCCTCCCTTCCCTCCCTTCCCTCCTCGCTCCCTCCCCCCCCTCCCTCCTCCTCCTCGCTCCTCCTCGACATTCCTCCCTCCTCCTCCTCCTCCTCCTCTCTTTCATCCTCCCCTCCTCCGCCTCCTCCGCTCCTCCTCCTCCTCCCACTCCTCCTCCTCCTCCGCCTCCTCCTCCTCCTCCTCCCCTCCCCCCTCCTGCTCCTCCTCCCCGTCCTCCTCCTCCTCGCCCCCCTCCTGCTCCCTCCTCCTGCTCCTCCTCCTCTCCTCCTCCTCCTCCTCCTCCTCGTCCTCCTCCTCCTCCTCCTCCTCCTCCTCCTCCTCCTCCTTCTCGTGCAGCAACCCGAGCGGGTCCGAAGTCCGTGTGGGCCCCCCGAGAGAGCCGGCGACGCGCCGCGCGCGCCCGCCCGCGCGCCGCCGCTGCCCGCTAACGCCACCGCCGCGGGCCGCCAAAGCCGCCGCGGGCGACCCTGGCGGCGCCGAAGCTGCCCGGCGCTTCGCCTCCACGGCAGCCACCGGCGGCGCCTCGGAGCTGGCTGCCGCGCCCCGCCGCGGCGGCCGTCCGCCGGCATCCGCCGCCGCCGCGCGGCGCCACCGCTGCCGCCGCCGCCACGCGCATCGCCCTTCCACCGCCCCAGCTGCGCCCGCGCGCGCCCAGCCCTGCTCCCTTTGGAGCTTTCTGCCTCACGCCGGCTTGGTCGTAGCCTCGCACCGACTTGGCAGGTGCCCCAGCCCGGCCCCTGAGCCGCAGCTGCACCGCCGTCGCCCGTCCGCCCAGGGCGAGCGCCCCGCGCCCGCGGCGAAGTGCCCTAGCCCCGGCTGCAAGCGGCCTGCCCGCTAGCCTTTGCACAGCGCGTACACCGGCTGTTTGTCGCCCGGCTCAGGCGCGCGCCTGCCCCGCAGCGCGCCGCCTTACTCGCCGCGAGGCTCTGGCGAACCGCCACCAGAATGGCGGCGTCGCCGGGCGCCCAAGGGCAGAGGAGCGCCTGCGCCCTCGCCCCAGCGCGCCCCAGGGCCTCCCTCGCGAAGGCCGTGAGAGCTGGGCTCTGGCAGCGCCAATGCTGGCGTTCCTCCCAGGCCGCTGCGGCAGACCCGCCCCGGACGGTGCGACCCGAGCCCGCCGGCCGCCGAGGGCGTCGCCCGTGACCACCACGTCGACGTATGCCGCGCTGGCCGCGGGGTCGGGAAAGGCCACGCCGAACCGAACTGCCTCGACGGAGCCGTCCGCGCGCCGCCAGTCCCAGGCGGGCACGGACCGTTCCGTGTCCACACCTGTCGCGCCGCGGGTGTGCTGCCAGCGGGCGAGCCAGTCCCTGACGCCGTCGTGGCGCAGGGTCGTGCCGCCGCCGACGTAGCAGCCCAGGCAGTGCCCCGGCGTCGCGGCCAAGCAGACCCCGCATCGCGTGCCATCCTCCCGGCGTCGGAGCCAGGTGGCGCTGGCGGCCGCAGGCGCGGGCAGCTGCAGGACTGGAAGCAAGCGCGCGTCCGCCATGACGTGGTTTTCCTCCGTCGGCTACAGAAGCCAGCTCCCCGCGCCTTTCGCTGGCCCTGCCCGGTCTGGCGGCAAGGCAACCTAGGAAGCCTCGCCAGAGGCGCAGTTCGTGGTCGTGCCGACAGGGGTTCAGCAGCTACTGCGTCATCGAACCAATCGCGTTTGCCACTAGTTAAGAAGCCAGACGGAATGCAGCCACTGCAACATAGTTCCTCGGACCCGGTGCTTAGCCCTACTCCGATGTACGTCCCTGATCTATGGTTCACACCACCACATATCTGCAGAGTTCTCTCGTCTTCGTGGGTCGCAAGCGTCTCCTTCGTGGTCAGTGTTTGAGTTGATGGAATTATCCACGTTGAGGTTCATTGAGATGGCTTGGGAATGAGTAGGGCTTCTCGTACAGGAGGGCCGTGATGGCAAGGTCATCTCGTCCTCACACATCGCTGCGTCCAAGGAAGCTTCTTTCCACTCCGAAGCCTGTGGCTTGCTCGCTGCGCGCTTTGATATCCCTTTGGTAGTACAATCTGTCCCACGCCCTGTGCCTGCCGATGCATACCGCTCGTGATTGAGGGTGTGATGGGTGGGCTGGGTATCCCGGGAGTGGGATGCTCGGCCCGTCGATCTTCGCGACGCCTGCACCAGCCCCACAGGCAGGTGTTTAAGAGAGCAGTGGCAGATCTCGGCTCGGGGGCCGCCGCCCGGGCACCTCCGCAGCCCTGCTGGGCACAGTCTCTTGCATGCGTGGTGCGCACCTCCGTCGGAGTCCCGCTACAGATAGACGGGAGGAAGGTGCAGATATGGTACAAGTTAATGCATGCATGTTCGTCCTTCTTCTGCTTTTTTTTTGTGGTCGCCCATTATCCTTAGCCCACTCTATGTGGGCTTCACAGCCTGCAGCCTGCACTCGAGTGCTGCACATCCCCGGCAGAGCGCTCCAGTAGCATCCTTTCTCAAATCGCTGAGTCTTGGGTCCTGAGTCACCCTCCCAGGGCTGTCAGGCAAAGGACCCCTTACACGCTTAACTGAACCTCCCCGCGCTCCAGCATGCCCGATGGACAAACAAAAACACCATGTCACCCTGTCACACGGGCGCCGCGAAATAACCGTTACTCTGAAGTTCTTTGTTTGCAACATGTCGAGCCGCAGCACCTTCACGTTAGGAAGCATCTTCTGGAAAAATTTCGAATTAACGATGACAGGCTATGAGGCCTGATTAAGCGGCTTCTAATCCGAAACAGGCCGGAGTCAGCTGGTGATTTTGTTAGATGCGGTCCTCCTCTCCCCAAGACTGGGTTATCCATATCCACCACTCTGAGCTGATCAAGTCAGCCACTCTGCCCCTCTCCTGCCGGGAGGCGCACCAGAATCACCTCCGCCACGCTCAAGGAGAGGGCTTCCAGACTTCCCTTACTTGACGGGGCGCGAGGGCGAACGCAAGGTTGAGCAGCGCCATAGGAGCAGGAGGAGGAGACGGAGGAAAAGGAGAAAGGGACACGGGCGCCGGCAGCCGCTGAGCACTGACCATTTGCAGTGGCTGCATCCGACAAGATTTGCCACACCCCTCTTGCACGACAAGACACAGGAAAGAAGGAGAGATGGAACGCGGCAAGCAGCAAGCAGAACGTCGTGAAGCGGCTGACACGGATTCAGCGGAATACCACGGATTCAGCGGGATACCACGGATTCAGCGGGATCCAGCGAAATTAACAAGATTCAGGCCTGTCCCGTCCACGGGTATACCAACGCCAATGCTGAATGGAATCTACCAGGAAAGGCATCCTGACCGGCGGATCCGCCTGGCTCAGAAGAAGCCAGAAAGAGGAAACCGAGAGCTCTAGTCGCGAATTGTTCCGCGACGTCACCTCTTCTCACGACGGCGGGTGCCGCAAAGGCAGGAAAATGGATCACGAGCAAACAGCATGAGCACTGAGTTCTGCATTGCTTGGTGACTGCAAATTGCTCGAACATCCTTGCACTCCCAGGAGCAATGCTTGCGCCCTAGACAACACACGCAATCTGCTCGATTCTGGCAGTGGGCGTGGCACAATGGCATTGTGGATTTCACGCTAACTGACCCCATGCGGCGCGTTCTGGCCATGGCCGTTGCCATGTTGAGCGGTGGGTCGCACGGCGACTAGATTGCACCCGGGTGCCACGTAGATGTATCCCCGTGCGCTGCATCCAATAGACGGGGTGTCAACCGTATAACATCCGCTCAAAGAGGACTGGACTATGTTCCCATGCCGAGTCCAGACTTAAGGATCCGCCTCAGCGCATCTACTTCCAAGTGAAAGCTGAACGCTCGTGCTTACCCGACGTGCAAAATCGCACCATCCGGTCGAAGCCCGTATGAACACCCTCCCCGTCAGCCCAGACAACTTATAGACACCGGTGGGAACGCGTTGATCTAACTATAGCGCCTTCAACTGTATTATTTTAATGTTATGTATACATCCATATATATATATATACCTGAAGGCCACACGCGCGCCGCCCAGCGCGCGGATGCGCGCCCCCCGCCCGCGCGTCCAAACTGTGTGCGACACCCTGGCACACCCACGGTATTCAGAAGCTGGGCAATTCCCCAGTCATCCCCGTCAAATATTACCATGCAGGCCCGCGCGCGCGCAAGTCGAAAGGTGCTTCGACAGCCAGCATCGGGCTCGTCAATAGCATGTAACGCACCATTTTCCAGATAGGCATTTCCAGCGAATATCGTTTCAGAATGATCCCCGGCATCACCATTGCTCGCAAGCGCGAGACATGGATATGTAAGAACAATGGTCCGCCCACCACTGCGCCTGTTGGGCGAACAAATTCCGATCCGATCTGAAACTGCACTCACGGCCCCTTAAGCCGTGCTGGCAGATTGGGCAGATTGCGAGTGGGCGGGTGGGATCTTCGCACGAGCATTGGAGTTGGCGACTTTCTAGGTTGCGGCCCACGGGTTGGACCCCATGGCCTTAACCTTGTGGGTAACATGGCATATGTTGCACCCCATTATTTTGAAGCGCATTTGGAATATTGCACTCCATAAATTGCGCAAAAATGAACTGGGGAGCCCCGCACTACCAAACTGACTGGATTATCTCGACACAATTATCTGATGCAACCGGGGAGGGGAGGAAGGTAATGTTTTATGCCTTCCGCTCCAATGCCCCCCTTTCCCAGCGTGGAAGAAAATCGGAAGAGAGATGAGCAAAAGGGAGGGGGGAGGATGACGAGGTTAAGGTGCACGGCGGGGCGGAAGAGCAGGCGAAGGAGCAGGAGAAGAAACAGGTCCATTACCATCCGTCATCTGCTGCTCATGCTCCTGATACTGTTCATCCTCCTCAGCACCAGGCTCCCCTAGGTGATTCTATTCAAGGTGCTCTGCCATCCCCCTCCCTCCCCTCCCCCACTCCCATTCTCCCCTCATCAGCCCCCTTCCCTCCTCCCAAGCCCTTCCCCCCTCCCACTACCATCCCCTAATCCTCCTCCGCCTCGCCTCACTCCCTATGCTCCACCAGCCGGTGCTGCTCCTCCACCTTGCCCACCGTGACCCCACTCCTCGCTCCCAGACACCCTCCCATACGATTCCTGCCATCCGCGGCCCCAGTGTTTACCAGCCTGGAACATATCCCTATCCCTATGCTCGGCATCGCCTCATCACGATGGCGACCTTAGGGATTCCCTCAGTTTCTGAGTGTGCATCCCTAAAGATTGTCATCGCCTCTTGGCGTGTCGATCTCCAGGATGGGGATGAGTTCGAGGCTGGTGACAGTAGTCCCGACCCCATCCCCCGGGGCCAGCTCTCCCGTCGCGGCTCGGTGTCTGACGGCCCGCAGCCCCACGTCGGGCAGACGTAAGACTCGGGTACGGGGGACTCGGGTTGGCTTGACGGGGCCCTCATAAAACTGACGAGGCCCAATCTGAAACCTGACGCGAGCTCCCGCTGCAGACTCCCCACGAAAACTGGACCGCCAAAATCCGGGACGCGCCCGTCAAAAGAACGTAAGCAAACCCGAGTTCCGGCTCACTCGGGTCTTGCGCTTCCCCGACCACAGCCGACATCGAGGAGCACCGCCGCGAGTGCGACAAAGACGTGCTCTCGGAGGCGCGCGTGGCTGGCGCGGAGGCCTCGTGCCCCGCCGCCCCCTGCGGGCCCGCCCGGCGGGCCGCCCAGGGGGGGCACCCGCCTCCCCACGTGCACGCCGCCAGGCTGCGAGCCTCGCGCCCAGCTCCTCCCTCTGCTGAATACTACTCTCCCTCTTCCCCTGATGACGTGCTGGTAGTGCCCCCCCCCCCCCGCGTCCTGCTTTTTTACACACAGGATTCCCGGGAGTTGGGTTTTCGCCTGCATTTTTTTCCAAAATGCTGCTCTCGCCGAGGCGCCGGCCTCATTTTCGGGCCCCGCTCGTTCCGAATCGTGCTCCCGCTGCAGCGCTGGCCTCATTTCCGTGCTTCCGCTCGTTCCGAATCGTGCTCCCGCTGCAGCGCTGGCCTCATTTCCGCGCTTCCGCTCGTTCCGAATCGTGCTCCCGCTGCAGCGCTGGCCTCATTTTTCGCGCCATGCCACGGCATGCAATGCAATGCTAGGTTGATACTACGCTTTGCGGTGCTCTTCTACGCCATGCCATGCCGTGCTCAACACTGCATCGCGTACCCTTTCGGGATCATTGCACAGCTCGACATCCGACTGTGCGAGTAGAGAGGGGATCTGCGCCATGGTAAGGGGTGGGAGGGCAGGGTAGGATGTCAGATATGACGCGAGCGCACCTAGCTTGCCCCTCCCCCTCCCCCCCTCCCCCTCTCTCCCCCCTCCCCCCCCCTCCCCCTCCCCCCCTCCCCCCCTCCCCCCGCTTTCTTTGCCCCCCCCCCCCCCTCCGCCCCTTCTTCTCTCCGCCGCAGGGCTCCCGCTCACCAAAGGAGTGCCGTAGGAGATCCGGGCCCCTCCTCCTGCGTGCGCACTGCTGGGCCGACTCCCCCCTCCGCCTTTCCCGGCGGGCCCACCTTGCCGAAGACGGTCTCCACCAGCGGCACGAAGCTCGACGCCCATGCGTTCGCCTGGTACGTGTCTCCGGCCTCTGGCGGCTGGAAGAGGAGGAGCAGCAGCAGCAGCACCAGCGGGCGCGGGAGGAGATGCGGGAGGAGAAGGAGGAGGAAGAAGAAGAAGAGGAGAAGGAAACACATCAGCAGAAGTGGGAACGAGGACGCGAAGGAGCAGGAGAAGACGCAACAGCAGCAGCAGCAGCAGCAGCAGCAGCAGCAGCAACAGCAGCAGCAGCAGCAGCAGCAGCATCAGCAATCGCAGCAACAGGCTACGCACGCCAAATCTGGCATTCGCGCCTTCCACGTGTTCACTCGAATGCATGACTCGGGTCGGTGTCTTCGGCCTGTCCCTGACCGATGCTGCCGAGACGGTGGCGACGGTGCGATATAACTGCTTACTGTTCGTCCCAGGCAGCGCACACTCTTGACGCATCTGTGCGTTCCTTCGCTCAGCGGGTGGCGCATGTGGCCTCGGGAATTCGCCACCCAAGCAAGGACATTCCAAGCGAGCCCGGGAAGCGGCCGTGCCTGCGTTCCACCCAACTCCCTCCTGAACCTCCTTGGTGCATGCTGAGTGCCGCTCCGTGTTCTTCCTCTGCTTGCCCATCGCCATCCTCCTCCCTCCCTTGCTCGTCTCACGACCGCGTCCCTTCTCCCTGCCCTTGCTCCCCTCCACCGCTGTCGGAGCGAGGGGGGTCGCGCCCACGCGAACCCGCTTCGAGTCGCACACATGTCGGCTGCTTCGGGGCAGGCTGGAGCCCGCTATATAATGCTTATTCGCGATATCGCCCGAAACTAGCCCCGCCGCCCCTCTCTCTCCCCTCCCCCCTGGTCCCGCCACGATTGGCGCGAACACCTTTTCCCCTCGGCGGCGAGGCAGAGGCAGTCCACTCCATCGCGTGGCAATCCGCGAAGATTGGCGCGAACACCGCGTCTGGGAGTTGGCAGCTCCTCGGCACTCCCAGACGACGCGGGCGCGCATCCTGACGTGACTGGCGCACTCCCCCCACCCCCTGCCCCCCACCCCGTCACGCCCGTTGTCGCCTCCTTCGGGTTGGTGGGTTGGTCGAGCGTCCCTTCATGAGGGGGGGGCGGACGATTAATGGGAAGGGGGGAGACACGTGCACCTTTCGTGCCCCAGTTCGAGACCAGTAGGCCACAAGAGGTGCACACTCCTTCCCCCCCCCAATTCCTTGCCAGCCCATTACTCGGCGGCGAGCCCTAGAAAACATCAGGCGGGGCGGGCCCTTTCAAAGTCTCGGGAGCCCTCTTGGCCTTCTGAAAAGTCTCCGACGCATCAGCCCCGAAGACGCAGAAATCTCTCAAAGGCCAGAGCCCTCTGAGGAGCCCCGCTGCCTCCTGCGAAGTCCTTCTCCCTCTCACTTTCCCCCTCGCTTGCCGCCGAATTACGCAACGCCGACGAGCCGAAGGACTGCCACGACGACGACGACGACATCGGCGGCGACGGCGAAAGCAACGACAACATCGGCGACGACGACGAACACGATCGCAACGACGACGACGACGACGACGACGACGACGACGACGACGACCACGACGACGGCGACGCCGACGCCGACGACGACGACGACGACGACGACGACGACGACGACGACGACGACGGCGTCGGCGGGGTGGCGGCGGCGACGGCCCCCCCCGGGGTGCCGCGTCCACCGTCGGGCGGCCCGTGCCGCGCTCCGGCCACGAGCCCGCCCAGACCTGCGGGCCGCCGCGGGCGCGGCCCGCGCGGGGAGGGCCCGCCGTCGCCGCCGCCGCCGCCTCGTCGCCTCGCCGCCGTGTCCTGGGTGGGCCCGCCCGGTTCTCGATGAGGCGTCCGTCCGTCGCCGCCTCGTGCGCCGGGTGGGGTCCCGGGGCCGTCGCCTGGTGCGCCTCCGTCGCCGCCTGGCACCGTCTGCCGGGAGCTGTTGCCGAGGGGGGCGGGCTTCCACGGGGTCCCCCTGACAGGAGCACGGTCAGCGAAGGATCGAATACTTCGGCTTTACCACCTCGGCAAGTGGGAGGGGAGGGAGGAGGAGGAGGAGGAGGAGGAGGAGGAGGAGGAGGAGGAGGAGGAGGAGGAGGAGGAGGAGGAGGATGGAGGAGGAGGAGGAGGAGGACGAGGAGGAGGTAGAGGAAGAAGAGGAGGAAGAGAAGGAGGAGGAGGACAAGGAAGGAGAGGAGGAGGACGGAAGGAGGAGGAGGAGGAGGAGGAAAAGGAGGAGGGAGGAGGAAAAGGAGAAGGAGGAGGAGAAGGCGCAGTCCGACGCATCCCCTTGGAAAGCAGTGGGTCAAGGCCCAGGCCTCACGCCCGCGCGTGAGGCTGAGCGGGGTTACCAGCTCGCGGCCCGCGCTCAGCCCACGAAGTTCAGGGCCTCGTAGCCGAAGAAAACCAGCACGGGGGGAACAACGACGGTCGACACGGCGCGGGTGGGGACCCAGCGTCCCCCCCCCGCGCCGTGTCGACCGTCCCCCCCACGGGGGAAACAACAAAACAAACTGAACGAGCGACCCCCCCCCTGAAGGGACTCAGCCTGCTCGACACGTCTGACATGGATCTTCTGACCAGCCAGCGGGGAAAGAACCTTTAGATGGCCCCTTGCACCCCTTGCACCAGAGCTACACATTACGAAACTTGCCGATGCTGCCGTGAGCACAGAAAGAGAGAGAGAGAGAGAGATCGCGCAGAACGAGCAAAGCGCATGCAGTGCCTACGCCTCCCTCGTCCGACCAAGCTGCTGCGCCAGAATTCCGGGCTGGTCGCCTGGGTCCTGGGGGAGCGGGGGTGGGCGGGGCCGTGGCTCCGCGAGGACATTCTGGAGCTAGACCCTCGGAGGATGGAGCGGAGGAGGAGGAGGAGGAGGAGGAGGAGGAGGAGGAGGAGGAGGAGGACGCGGGGAAGGGGCGGCGGCGCGACACTCCAGCAGCCCGTGGTGCCGATCCTGGGTGGCGACCCACAGGTCTCCCCAGGGCCACGGCAACAACAGGCCCGCGCGGCCCTGCCGGCCAGCCCCCTCGAAGCGAAGAGGGGGCAGCCAGCGCAGAGTGGGCCCTCCCCCTCCCCCTCCTTTCCCTCCCCATCCTCCTCCTCCCCCTCCTCCCCCTCCTCCCCCTCCCCCTCCTCCTCCTCCTCCTTCTCCTCCTCCTCCTCCTCCTCCTCCTCCTCCTCCTCCTCTCCCTCCTCCTCCTCCTCTTCCTCTTCCTCCCCCTCCCCCCTCCTTCCTCCTCCTCCTCCTCCTCCTCCTCCTCCTCCTCCTCCTCCTCCTCCCAACTCAGCCTGGCGGTGCACCGGTTGTGCGCCGTCGATGTGCAAAGGAGGCGAGGGGAGTGCCACACTGAGACGCTTCCGATGTGGGTGGTGGTGGTGGTGGTGGCGGAACGCAGTCATGGGCGAGGTGTGCCGTGATCCATATGAGTTGGGTTCGGGAAGGCTCGGCGGGGCTTCGGAAGAGGAGGGAGGACTCGGGAGGGCTTCGGAGCAGAGGAGAACGGATGGCGGGGGGAGCAGGAGCAGCATCAGGAGGACAAGCGAGGGAGGACGGAGTGAGGGGTGAAGGCGGAGGGGCCGCTGAGACAGGGCATGGTCTGGTATGGGTTTGTGTTAAACGCGGGGTCCAGCCACAACCATCCGAGCTCGGCTTCCGACTTGCACTCTTCAGCGCTGTCGTTCCTCGCCTCGCTCCAGGGACTGGCGGCCGACATCGCGGGCTTGCTCGAGCTCCCCCTTCCCACAGCCCGAGCGCCGTCAAAACCTCTGCCCGCCCTCCCTTGTCGGCCCTGCCCCTGTCTTTGCGCCGCGCAGAGGGGGGTGGGGGGAGGGGCGAGGGCTTCTTAGAAGGAGGCTGCTTCTTAGAAGCCGCGGGCCTTACATTTACAGACAAGGCCCGCGCCTTCTAAGAAGCAGGGGTGCCTCTGAGAAGCCTTCCCCCCTCGCCCCGCCCCCCTCTGCACGCCGCCAACTGCCGCCGTGGAGGGGGGAGGGAGGGAACAAGCTCCTGGGGTGAGGCAGGCGCAGAGCGTCCTGCGAGCGGAGCTCATGGGATTTCTGCAGGTCCTGCGCCACCGATCGGCCCCGTTGAGAGTAGGCAGGGGGGCCTCCTCGCCGTCGCTCGCCACCTCCCCTCGGCCACCCCACCTTCGCGTGCCGAGCCCCGCGGTGCGCGGCGCGCGGCTCACGTCCTCGCGCCCTCGCGCCGCCGCCCCGGAGACGGGCGGCGTGCAGCGCAGCCGTCGTCGCACCCTCGGGCCGGGCGTTTGCTCCCGAGCAGTTTCTGACTGCAGGGCCTCCTCCTCCTCCTCCTCCTCCTCCTCCTCCTCCTCCTCCTCCTCCTCCTCTCCTCCTCCTCCTCCTCCCCCTCCCCTCCTCCTCCTCTCCTCCTCCTCCTCCTCCTCCTCCTCCTCCTCCTCCTCCTCCTCCTCCTCCTCCTCCCGTGCCCCGGAGAGAGAGAGAGAGAGAGAGAGATGGAGCAGCTCCTTGCGTCGTGTGCTTTGTTCTGCGCGACGCGGGGGAGCCGGGACACCCAGACATCCAGTTGGTCGCCCGAAATGGGTACGGAAAGAATGGGTACAATGCCCAACAGCAGTTCTTGTTCAGTTTGAACAGGATTCGCCGTCCACGCCGCCGCGGCCTGCGTCCATTGGAGACAGAAGGCCGCCTGCCCAACAGCGGCCGCTGTTGGTTTGGGACAACATTTGTTGTTGGGCATTGTACCCATTTTTTCCGTGCCCAGTTCGGGTGTTCAAAATCCAGGGGCGACCCGGATACCCCCGGGGGCGACCTGGAGCCAGTTGTCGCCTCGGGTCCATGGTTGCCGGCCCGGCCCACGAGCGGGCCCTGCGAGGCCGAAGGCGAGGAGAAGCGCCAAAGCCAACAGAACTCCCAGCGTCGGACGTGTGGACGCTCCTCCCCCTGACGTGCGTGGGCGCGCGCTCTGATTAGAATTCCGAGGCGGATCCTGCCGCGGCGACGAGGAGAGCTCTCTGGCGGCCCCGAGGAGGGCGAAAACGTCCCCCATCCTCGGTCCTGGAGGTTTCGATCCTCGAGGTTCCAACGCCAGGATCGAAAAATCCATCCCTCCTGGATCTACAGCAGGTCAGCGGAGGGGCCTTGATCAGCGCGATACCTCCGGGCCGCAACGCCCGGTGGAGGAGCCGCACGTGCGCGGCGCGGCTCTCCTTGTGGCACGCGGAGGCGCTGGAACCGGTGCGGGGGTGGGGGGGGTGCGAGAGAGGAAGCTCCTCATTCTCCTCCTCCTCCTTCTCCTTCTCCACCTCCTTTTCTACGTGAGACCAACCTCAGGTTTCCCTGTGGCGTTCAAGCCTCCTCCTCCTCCTCCTTCTCCTCCTCCTCCCACCTCCCTATAACCTTCCCCTCCTCCTGCGTTCCTGCTCCTTGTGGATACGTTACTCCTCCCGGTCGCACCCCGAGTCCACTCGAAAGGGCGGGCTGGGCGTTTCGCTGGAGACTTCCTCAAATCCTATGAGCCTGAATATGTAAACCTACAGCAATTTCAAACATGGAAGGCGGGCCGCTTCCTAAATGTGGCTCTCCCCTTAGCGCCGCGCACATTCTTGCTAAACGTTTGAAAGTTTGTCACGCGTTCACGGCAGGCGGTTTTCGAAATGGGGCTCTCGCCTGAGCGCCGCGCACACTCGTCTAAAACATTGCAAGACTTTTGAGACTCAGGGCGGGTGGTTTTCAACATGTGGCTCTCGCCTTAGCGCCGCGAGCAATCGTTTCAAAAACTTCCAGACGTGTCATTCGTTCTCATTGTCCACGTACCAGAAATGGTTTCTGAAACATCCAGGACTGACAGGGCGCAACAGTTACGTTGATTCGCGGTGTTGAAGTCCCATCCCAGGAATGGCTATCTGGCAAGCTTCAGGATCGCCAAGACGTAACAATCGGGTTAACACGTCGCGTTGGTTTCCGAAGACTGGTGTCTTGGCACGCTTCAAGATGATCACACGTTTGTCCCAAAACGGGGAAGTTCCCTCGGCGGAAATGACCTCTTGATTGCCCTATGGGGAGGAATATTACAGGGAGGGTGTATTTCAACATCGTTGACAAGTCTTGGGTTTACACTGGTCTTCCCCTCCTCTTCCGCCACCTCCTCCTCCTCCTCCTCCTCCTCCTCCTCTTCCTCCTCCTCCTCCTCCTCCTCCTCCTCCTATTCTTCATCCCCCATCCTCCTCCTCCTCCTCCTCCTCCTCCTCCTCTTCTTCTCTCCATCCCCCTCGTCTTCCTCTTCCTTCTCCCGCCTCCTCCTCTTCCTTCTCCTTCTCCTCCTCCTCCTCCTCCTCATCATCATCATCCTCCTCCCTCCTCCTCCCTCCTCCCTTCTCCTCCTCCCTCCCCCCCCCGCCCCCCTCCCTCCCTCCTCCTCCCCCCTGCCCACCTTCCTCCCCCTCTTCCCATCTATTCCTCCTCCCTCCTCCTCTGTCCTCCTTCTCCCCCTCCTTTCTCCTCCTCCTTCTCCTCCCCCTCTTCCTCCGCTAGGACGAGAATGTTTTCATGCTGCGATTGGCTCAAAGTACGTGCCAGAAACTCAAGAAGGTCTAGCGGCCCTCGTTGTCGCAGCCCGTGTGCAACATTGCCGAATCTGGGACATCCTGCAAGTACCATGATCATTGCATCCGGAACCCCTGACCCTCCAAGGGTCGCAAAGACTGCCCAGAATGCTCGCCGAGGCCACCAGGATCGCCTACGGCGATGGTGGGGGGGGGCACCGCTGGCGGAGCGCAGCAGGAAGTAACGCAAGGCAGGCAGCAGGAGGCCACGGGAGGCGAGGTCGCCCTCCAGACAGCGGGCCTGGCAGTCCACTCCCGAGTTGTTTTTTTCGAGAGACGCGTCAAAACCCTCACATAGGGGGTAAACCAACCTGCCTCGCTTTTGACCACCCTCGCTGCCAAGAGATGCCAAGCGATGCCAAAGTGCGGTCTGTACTGGTCAGGCCTCTTGACGAGGAGGCGCGTGGTATGACGTGGTTTTGCCTGGAAGCGAAAGCGGGGTAGGCAATTCACGCTCTGATCACAGACAAGCCGCGTCAGAAAACGCCAGGGTGTCCGACGTCGGGCACTGCCTCGGGCGGAAAGTCGGCTGCACGCAATTTGGAGGGCGACCCGCGGCACGATGTGGCCTTTGGTACGGGGCGCCAGGGAGAGCCGCGGAGGGGGGGGGGGGGGAAATCCGAGCGCGCAGGCCACACTACTGAAGGTCACTCTGGCGAGAAGTCACTCTTCCCAGATTCCCGACGTCCCGACGTTAGGCATATTTTCATAACGTGGGCCCCCAAATTTTGGACGCCCGAAATGGGTACCGAACAAATGGGCACTATGCCCCACAACAAATGTTGTCCCACGGCCTCCTGTCTCGAATGGACACAGGCCGCAGCGACACGGACAGCGAGTCCTGTTCCACATGAGCAGGAACTGCTGTTGGGCATCGTACCCATTCTTTCGGTACCCATTTCGGGCGTCCAGACAAAAGTTCCAGAAGTATCGACCGCTTCCCGTGGGACCAGCTTCTCGCCCTGAGTGGTGCTTTGCCGGCCCCGAGGCCCGGCGAAGGGCCCCTGGAGGCCGAAGATACGCCCTCCCCCCCCCCCCTCACACACACAGACACACACACACACACAAAAAAAAAAACGACGTGTTTCTGCATCACACGCAAGGGGACTGGGTTACGTGTCGCCGAGGCGTGTCCGCGCAGCCCCCTGAGACGAAGCCACGACGAAGATAAGACCGGGTAAGGACACACCGAGAATCTCTGAGATCCGGCGGCTCTGGAGGATTTCTCGGCCGCCGCGGCCTTCTCAGAGCGTTCGGGAACACTCTGTCACTGGTCCAGAACGATCCAGAACGGATTTTTCCTCTTCCGTTTCCTCGTCCTAGCCCCGCATCGTTTAACCAATCCCTATCCCCACTGGCGTGGCCTATAGTCCCCCACTGGGCGACTTACTCACCAGATTGGGATGTAGGCTGGTCCCTCGGGTCTCATGGGGTCATAGCTGCAGCCCGATACGCAACAGCTCAGCACGCAGCTCAGCCCCGTAGCGTGTTAACACGAAGCTCAGCACGCAGACGGAAAACGCAACTCTGGCGCGATAATTGCCTTCGCCACGACGCGGACCAGCACGTGCCGGACCAACGCGCACCGTGCTCACACAAACGCCTGGAACTCGGTACGCGGTGCGGGCATCTCCCCAACTGGGGTGGTGGGATGGTGGGGATCGGGATGGGGACGGGGGACCGGTTAAAAACTCCCCCCGTGCCCGTCCTTTGAGCAGGGACCGACCGACCCGGCGTTCCTATAGTCCTACCACGAAATGTTCTTAGAACCCCAAAATGTAGAACAAAAACGATGCTCTTAGAACAGAAGCCCGATGTGTTACAACAGGACAATAGCAACCAGAATTGTTCCAACAACATTTCGTGGAAATCCCAAGCGGCTCTTAGAACATTGCTTGGTGGGGCTATAGGCACGCCGGGACGCTTCGTCACTGCTTGAGTCCTGGTCCGGCACGACGTTGAGCACAGACGCGCTGGTCACCGCGTCGGCCCCGCCGGCCGCCTCGCCCCCCCGCGTGGCCGGGCCCCCTCCGCACCGGGGGGGCGCCGCTGGCGCGGTGCGGGCGCGCGGCCCCCCGAGAGAGGCGCGCACGTGCGGGGGCCAAGGGCCCGCTCGCAGCAGTGAGGATGCACCTGCTGGGAGGCCTTCGTCGGGAGGACTGCTCCTCCTCCTCGTCCTTCTCCTCCTGCTTCTCCTCCTCCTGCTTCTCCTCCTCCTCCTCCTCCTCCTCCTCCTCTTTCTCCTCCTCCTCCTCCTCCTCCTCCTCGTCCTCGTCCTCGTCGTCGACCTCGTCATCGTCGTCCTCCTCCTCCTCAAGAAAATTGAGGGCTGCTGCGCCAGATTAGGCCGCGGATGAAACGGGACTCAGCCGGATTGAACGGGACGGAACTGGATTCAGCGGGAATACTCCACAAGATGAAGCTGGACTTCGGACCAGGGCTACGGCGGACTGTGACCTCCCAGGAGTTGCATCCGAACTGTAGCACTTCTCCGCCGCAGCGCGGCAGAGGCAGTCCGCACGCGCGCCCTAGCAGCCTGGGCGAGGCGTACGAGTTACATGGCGGCACGAGGGGGGGAGGACGAAGGAGGGCGGCCGCAGGAGCCGCGCGACGAGGGAGAGGGGCACTCACCGCACGAGGGGCTTCGGCAGGAGTGGCCGGAGTGACCGGCCCCACTCCTGAGGCAATTGTGGCAGGGGACGTGGGGCGCCAGCGCGCCCACACACCGGGGCGGGCCGTGGCCAAAAGCACGAAGGGGGGGCGTTTGCAAAGAGGCCCTGGGACACACAAGCAAATACACACAAATAACAGGATTCCCAATCTTTTCCTACATTTTCTGGGTTTTTGTCTTCCCCCCCACTTCCCATATTTTCCTAGATTTTCGGGAAATCGATGATTCATTGTGTCTGTGTGTTTTTTCCCCTCCTGAGTTTGGCCCGTTCCTTCGGGGTTCGAGTGGCATGCCCCCCACTGGGGTGGCGAACGCGAGCCGAAGCGGTGAAGCTGTCCTCCCCGACAGCGCTGGGAATCGGCAGCTCCAGCGATGCAGACCCCACCGCCGATGGGCAAGGGCGTCCCTCCGCCGCGCTGGTTCCTGACAGGCTGTGCTTAGGAGCCAGAAAAAAAAACACAAAGAAATTTCACACAAAAGGTTTTGGCACCACCAACGGTGCAACGCATGTGCACACATGCGACTGGATCCCAAGCGATCCGAACCAGGGTTGATGCACGGCCCCCAGCGAAGCACGACGGAAGATGTTTGGCCATCTTCGTGGCTCTCTTTCCCCCCGGCCCTCCTCTGGCCATCCGAATCCTCTGGCCCTCCTCACGCCCGGCGCGTGCCTCTCTTCAGGCCTCCTGCGCCACCGTTTGCCCCGGCGCGTCCCGCCGCTGCGCGAACGCTGCTTCATCCCTCGCGGCCGCTGGCTGCAACAGCTTGGCCCTTTTCGGCCCCCTGGGGCCCTCACTGGCGGGGCCCTGGAATCGTCAAAGATAGAGGCCTCCCAGATGGGGTCGGAGTAGATGGGGTCGGAGGATCGCCCCGCATCACCGATTCATCGGCGATGCATCGGCGATGCACCGGCGATGCATCGTCGGCGTCGGCGATGCATCGGCGACGTCGACGTGAAGCAAATCGGGCTCTGCATCGAGCCGCGTCGCCGATGCATCGGCGATGCAGAGCGATCCCCCAATCCGCCTCCGTCTCCTCCTCCACCTCCTCCTCCTCCTCCTCTTCCCCCTCCACCCTCCCCCAGCTCCTCCCACCCCTTGCGCCCCTCACACATGTAGTGGCCCCATAGGGTGCTGCACCGAAGGCTCCAGTGCGAAAGTTTGCATGCAATTCCATCCCATTTCGGCGCACCCCTCGTGGCCCCGTAATGAGCTACAGCGAAGGCCCTTGTGGGAAAGCTTGCATGCAGTTCCACACCCGTTCTGGCGCGCCACTCGCACGGATCGTGGCCCCCTAGGGAGCTCCACGGAAGGCCCCAGTGGGAAAGTTCGCATGCAGTTCCACCCCCACGTCGGCACACCTCAGACGGTTCGTGGCCCCATACCCCCATTTCGGGGCACCCCTCACACGGTTCGTGGCCCCATAGGGGGGAGCCACGCCGAAGGTTCCAGTGGGAAAGTTCGCATGCAGTTTCACCCCCCATTTCGGCGCACCCCTCACACGGTTCGTGGCCCCATAGGAAGCTCCACCGAAGGCCTCAGTGGGAAAGTTCGCGTGCAATTCCACCCCCAAATTTCGGTACACGCCTCACACGTTTCGTGGCTCTATAAGGAGCTCCACGGAAGGTCTCAGTGGGGAAGTTCGCATGCAATTCCGCCCCCGATTCCGGCGCACCCCTCACACGGTTCGTGGCCCCCTGGGGAGGGAGCTCCACCGAAGGCCCCAGTGGGAAAGTTTGCATGCAATTCCACCCCCGATTTCGGCACACCCCTCGCACGGATCGTGGCCCCCTGGGGAGCTCCACGGAAGGCCGCAGTGGGGAAGTTCGCATGCAGTTCCGCCCCCGATTCCGGCGCACCCCTCACACGGTTCGTGGCCCCCTGGGGAGGGAGCTCCACCGAAGGCCCCAGTGGGAAAGTTTGCATGCAATTCCACCCCCGATTTCGGCACACCCCTCGCACGGATCGTGGCCCCCTGGGGAGCTCCACGGAAGGCCGCAGTGGGGAAGTTCGCATGCAGTTCCGCCCCCGATTCCGGCGCACCCCTCACACGGTTCGTGGCCCCCTGGGGAGGGAGCTCCACCGAAGGCCCCAGTGGGAAAGTTTGCATGCAATTCCACCCCCGATTTCGGCACACCCCTCGCACGGATCGTGGCCCCATAGGGAGCTCCACCGAAGGCTCCAGTGGGGAAGTTTGCATGCAGTTCCACCCCATTCCGGACCACTACTCACGCGTTTCGTTTCCACGTAGGGAGCTACACCGAAGGCCCAGTGGGAAAGTTCGCATGCAGTTCCACTTCAATTTCGTCGCACCCCTCACACGGCTCGGGCCCCATAGGAAGCCCGCCCGCAGGCCAAAGTGGGAAAGTGGAAAAATAGTTCCACACCGAATTTCGGCGCACCCCTCACACGGTCCGTGGTCCAGAAGGGGCTCCTCCGAAGGCCCCAGTTGCAGGGTTCGGCTCATCTCCACGTCGGCTCATCTCTCACATGTTTCGCCGCCCATATCCGGAGCTTTACCTGAGACGATGCACCCCGTTACGGCACTCACAGATGCAGATGATTGGATCCTTCGCCAGGCTAATTTTGAAAAGACAGCTTCAAGCCCGCCGTCGCAGGCCGCCCAGACCTCGGGCCTCATTGTGCTCATGGAGATTTGGCGCACTCCTACCAGCAGTGTCCTGCTTACTCTGTCCTCCTCCTCCTCCTCCTGCCTCGCTTCTCTCTCGTGCTCCCCCTGCACCCCTCGTTCTCAACCAAGGGGGGGCCGTGCAAGCGGGGCAAATGGGCGAAGACGGAGGAAGGGGACAGGGAAGGGTCGAGGGACGGAGGGGATATAAATACGAAGCGAAGAAAGTAATGGTCGACGCGGGAATCCCTAATGCGCCTGCCACTCCATGGTGCCTCCCGCTGTGGGCATCTGAGCGAGAGAGTCCTAGCCTGTGGCGGCTGCTCGCTTCCTGGCGGCTCCCCCCTAGGAGAGCCCAACTAAGTGCTGTGCATGCAGTATGGGGGAGGATGGGGGGCTGCTTGGAAGGAGAGGGGGCCGGGGGGGGGGGACCCAAACGGGCGTCTCGCTGGAGCCATCCCTGCGACCGGACCGCGGCACGGGCCAGCTCCAACACCCCCCCCCCGCGGCTCCGCTCTCGGCTGCCCGGGTGCAGCGCTCCGGCAGCCGCACGGGGCCCGGACGGGCACGCGCCGGCGGGGCCCAAACGCCACGCTCCGGCCGCGAGCGGGCGAGTGCAGCGCTCTGGCAGCCGCACGGGGCCCCGGACGGGCACGCGCCGGCGGTGCCCCAACGCAACGCTTCGGCCGCGAGCGACGGGCGAGGACGGCAACCCCGGGCGGCTCCTGCGTGGGGCGCCGAGGTGCCAAAACCTGCTGGATCGAGTGGATCCTGCGGCTCTCAGAAGAAACAACAACAAAAAAACACAGGGGCAAAACGAGCCCACCGCTCGAGACATCCCCAAAGCGTCTGGCGGCCAACGAGGGCAGACATCGCCCACCGGCGGCCCCTCCTTGGATGCCCACTTGCCACGCCTGCTACAGCGCGGTGATCACGGGACGGCTCCCAAAGAGAAGGACTCGGCGACGCCAAACGAGCGTCGCGCTTGACACATCTTTGCAATCTGGCAGCAAACACGCAAATGTCCTACTCCCTGGCGGCTCCTCCGAGGGTTGCCCACAAGCCGCGCCTGCTCCATCGCGGTGATCACGGGGCCGCCAACACAGATAAGTCAAACGAGCGCCCCGCTAGAGACATCCCCGCGAACGGGCAAGTGTCATACCCCCTGGCGGTACCTCCTAGAGGTGACTAATTGCCGCGCCTGCTACATCGTGGTGGTCACGGGGCTGTCACAGCAGTGGTCACGGGGCTCTCCTGAGAGCATCGCTCGAGACATCCCCCAAGTGGCCTGCACCCTGGCGACCCCGCCTTGGGTTGCCCACGTGCCACGCCTGCTACATGAGGTGATCACGAGCGGAGACTGAGCATCAAAAGGCGAGTATGAGCAGGTATGGGTCAGAGTATCAGTGAGTTGGAGCATCTGTGTGTACCCTGGGCATGATCAGTACTAATATAAGTGCGTCTCAGTGTAAGTGAACCTGAGCGGGCCTGAGTTTGAATATGAGTGAGTCGACCAATGAGACCCACGATGTATGAGTGAGACTGCGTGAGTGGGTGAGACTGTGAGAGAGTTTGGGTCATGAGGGAGCCTGAGTGTGACAGATCGGGGACATGAGTGACTGAGTGTGGGCCAGTCTGTTGAGGACCAGGCTGAGTCAGAGTGGACCTGCTGATATTACATCAGTGTGCGAGGCAGGCGGGCGAGTGGGGAGGAGGCGGAGGCGTCTCCCTCATAGAGGTAAGCCCCCCCCCCCCCCGAGAGAGTGTGGGGCCACTTAGAGGCTGTGGAGACGTCTGAGCTGCATGGGCCCCGAAACAGAAAGGGGAGACTGGCGCGTAAGGGCGACTCTTCTCAAGACCGGCCCCTGGACCCTCCGAGGGTCCGCCCATCTAGTGTTAGGTCGGGCCTGTCCCCCTACAGGGGGATTTGGGCGAAAAATACAGATACTCAAAAAATACTCAAGAGATGCCCAAACACATTCCAACAATAGCCCCCAGACTATTTTTGACTACGTTTGAATATGCCCCCTGTAGAGGGACATGCCCGACTTAAATCTAGTGCACCTGTCCTCCCCGGATCCGTTCCCTGGGCCCGAAGGGACGGCCCCGGGAGACCGAATAAAGCAAACACGGTCTCGAAGCCAGACCCAGAACCTCACCCCGCCCTGGTGCCCGGAACCAACGGCGGGTCAACTCAGACCCCCAGGCCGGCTCCCGTGGAGACATGCAAGGCAAGTTTGACAGACCACTGCTGCCCGCGACGAAGCCAAATACCCCCTGCACGACGAGAGCTCTGCTCGGGTCGGGCGAAAAGGGGGGATAGCAAAGGGGGGGTTTGAGAATCAGCTCACGTAGCTGATTTTCCCCGCGCCTCCTGGCGCCGGAGGCGGCTATGTATCCAGGAAGGGGCCCCTCGGTGGGGCCGAAACCAGCTGCATGCGGCAAATTCCTTTCGCCCGGCTCGATCTGCCAGGGCAAGGTGCGACTGTCACGGGGTAAGTCCTGGAGGTGGTAGACTTGCCAGGAGTGTCCGTAAGACATGGTGTGCCGAACGTGGACATGTTTAACTAACGTCTAAGACTCCTGATTTCAAAATTCAATCCATCCAATTGTCTACTTGTTCGTAATATATCCACTGAAGTTCTTCAAGGTTATCAATCGTTACTATTTTTGTTTATTTATTTATGATGGAAGGAATGTTGTGATTTAGCGCTTGAGGATGGCAAGACGGCTGGCCAGCGTGGGCGATACCGCAGGCCCCTCCCCGCAGGGGGCCTCCACGGCCCGCTGGGCGGCGAGGTTCTCCTCCTCGCCGCGGTTGTAGGGGTCCTGCTCGGCAAGAGGCAGCGGCACCGCGGGGGAGGGCCGGCGGGGCGGGCGACCGGTGCAGCGGCTGCGCAGGGAGAGCCGTACGTGTCGACCAATGACCCCCGACATCGCGTTCTTCTCTCACGTGGACACCCGGAGGTCTCGACTCGGGCTGTCTCACCCTAGGCCGACTCTATAATGGCACCCCGTTTGTCACAGGAACACCGTGGGCCTCGAACAAGAACAAGAAAACAAAAACATGGACAGGCACATCGGCGTGGAGCGCTCCAGGGGCAGCGCCAGAGGCGCCGCCACAGGGGTCCAGCGCACATCGGGGAAATCCGCGCAGGGCTCCGAAAGCCGTTGCTTATGTTATGTGGGTTTATTATAGGGTCGACCGCTTCCTGATGGGGGTTCCGGCTGGAGGAAGCTCAGGCCCAGCTCGGGAATGTGCGCTGGCGGGGCGTGTATCTTCGGTTAGGGGGTG